ATTTTAAACTGATACCCTTCTTCCCCAGGAGCATCTTGTTAATACTCCCTTTCACGTTGTAGTATTTTTGTATGTGTTATTTGTGTAAGGGACTGCCCTGAATTTATTTACTACAGCTAAGCGCCATCCACACAAATTAAATGATTTTTAGTCTGCTTCAAATTCCTCCAAGTTTATCTCCTGACTAAAATGATACCCGCCTGTTCCCGTACTATAAACTAATTTCCGCTTTTTCTGCCATCAGATGCCTACACTAGAAAAAAAATAAATGACAGATGAAATGAATAAGTGTTTGAATCAAGTATTGTTGCATTAAAATCGAGTTTATTGGAATCATTATGCATGCTTCATATCTCTCACGCAGTTCACTTGCATTGCATATATTAAAGGTAAAGACCAGTTATGGTCATGCGATTGCATTGTGAAAGAAACGTTGTGGAATCGATCAAAAAAAGGTTGATCATCTAGCATCTAGCATCTGCAAGGTTCTGGAATCATCAAAATGATAAGAAATTTGACCATTCTTAGTAAAATTACAAGCACTATACACAGAAAGATGTATATGGGACTACCCTATGTCTCTCATAGACCATGAGAGAAACAAATTTACCAAATATATGAATTAGTAGGCGATTTCCCGGCAAATTTTTTATCATCATGTATTAGTCAAAACATATTCTTTCACATGATTGGTAATGAGAGCTTCCGTTTCATTTTTTGAAATTGGGGCGTTTCCAATACTGGTCTTTACCTTTAATGCAAAGATACTATGGAAGCTAGTACCAACACTGAACGTAATATTGAGACTCACCCTCGATGCGAGGAGTTCAGGAGGGGTTGTCGCTGTTTTCACGAAGTGACGGTAGTGAAAAAAAAAATTGCATTCACTTTGCGTTACGATTTTCCTCACTACCGTCACTTCGTGAAAACAAGGACGGTTTGAGCTTTTTCTGCTCCACCGGAGATATTAGGGACTTTTAGATTTGCATGGACTGATTCGTGTGACGTCCATTCAAGGCAGTGCATTAAAAGGACGTCGATCGTAGCAAACCACGTTGTCGTTGTGCAAATCTAAAAGTCCCTAGTGAAAAACTGGCACAGCGTAAGGCATTGGTGGCGTGATTCTCTGCTTTATATAGATGATCTTTATTTTTTGTAGCTCGATGCTGAAGTGTGCTGCCTTTAACCAACACCAATGGTCCAATCACAACAAACCCCTTTAATGAATTACCCAATCACCACAAAGCACAATATTCTTTAATCCTTCACAAGCAAGACAATCGATTAAAAGATCAACTGATCGCAGCTTTTATTTTCTGATAATCATGAGGAACAAGGATAGTTACTGACGGAAATCGTCATAGGAACTTTAATTAATGACTCACTAAGTAGGCGCCAATTAGGTGCTCATTATTTTTCCCTGTCTTGTTAGAGTAGTATAACTACTCAAATATTTAAAAATAAGTCCAACAAAGCATATTAAAAGGATATATCATAATTCGCTGAGACCAAACTTGTATGAAATACCTTTAATTGGTGTATAAGTCTTGATCACAGCAAATTGGATGTCCTACTTAAGACTTTCAACCTGTTGGACGTAAAAGTAAAGGCCACTCCATGGGAATGATAACATTGTGCGTGTGCGTGATTTTTTTGGGGGTGTGTGTGTGTGTGTGTGCGTGCGCGCGCGCGCGCGCTCTCACCTCAGCATTCTTGTGGGGTTTTATGTGCGCTTCACATACCCCTTGTGAGGCATTTTTACTTTGTGGGGTATTTTTTCAGGACCCCACAGAGTAAAGTCTTTCAAATGACTGTATATTCGGTGTCCTATGCCCTGCGGGGCATTAGAAGTGGTACCCCATAAATGACTTTTTGTGAGCGTGTGCTAAAACTTGCACACTTTTTTATGGTAACATCGTAAGCACACCGCCGGGTTGTTATCGCCAGGTTGTACATACCCCACTAGTAGGGGACCACAAGGTATATCTGGAACGCACAGAAATACCCCACAATCAGGTGCCCCACAAAGGCCCTGATGTGAGAATGTGTGCGTGTGTGTGTGTGTGTGTGTGCGTGCGAATGACATGGATGATTTAAATTACTTCTTGGGCTCAATGTGCAACAGCTTCTATACAGGATCCTTTGCATCGTAAAATCGCAGAAAGAAAGAGTCTATTGACAATCATTTAAACTTCACATAACAAATTTGCTATTTAATCACATAATCAATGTGCGAAGCAAGCTTTAACCGTTATGATGCAAATTGAATATAAGTGAAACATAAGTGAAAGAATGGAGTTATTAACTTACTAATCTTACAAAATGGAAGGTTAGTTTGCGCATGATTACAGCTCTATCAAAATTTGATCGCATTTTTTTAGATTGGTGTAGATTTACAGCCATTGTATAAGGTGACCATCATATCCGTCTCAAACAAAGCGATGCTAAGAATTTTATTCTTATACATCATTTAATAAAATTCGATAAATAACTCTAATGGAGAGATGCTGTGGCTCGAGAGTGAGAGTACTCTAATATCATGAGGGAGTCTCATACACTCTTGATAAAAACAACAAATTTGGTAAATTGCACCAGTAAAGTCAACCTCGTTCATAATTATCATCGACTGAAAACTAATAATCTATCATACATTATTAAAAGAAAGAGATTCAAAGACTGTCATCATTATACCACATTCAGAAAAGTTGAACAACAACTTATCACCATGTTTCCCAAGTTGGTTTAGCTATACGCAATTTTAACGATTTGAGGTCGACAGCTAGAGCTTGTGAAATTCACAGTTTATCATATAAATTGGCAAACGTTGGGCTTTAAGCTCTCAAATATGCCCCTTTCTCCATAGAAAAAGCATTATGCATGAGTCAACCATGCACAGGAGGAGGCCATTATGCGTCTGATCATTGTTTTTTAAGCGTAGGCCCATAATAGACACTTTAAAAACGTTATTATTTTATCTTTAAAACAAAAATACAATAATTATTTAAAAGAAGAAAAAAAGAGAGAAGTTATTTGTATTATTACATGTAATTTAAAGTGATAATAGTCAAAATTGACTAATTGCCATTAAAACACTAACCAACAACACAACACATTAGGCCCATTCAGGTTGTGATCCAGGCGCGTACGCAGGGGGGGGGGGGTGTTTGGGGAGTTAACCCCCCCCCCCCCCCTTGGTATTTTTATGTGTATAAACCCCCCCCCCTTTGTTTTTTTTTTGGTTTTTTTTTTTTTTAATTAAAAAAAAAAAAAAAAAAATATTCCCATGGCTGACCTAAAAAAGGCGACCTTACCCCCCCCCCCCCCAACGGAGCAAAATGTCAAATTTTCAAATTTCGAGACCAAAAAAAAAAAGTGTCCTCTTACCCCCCCCCCCCCCCCCCCCCCCGCTTATTCATTATTCGTCGATGCGAAATTTTCGGCCCGATTTAAAAATGTTAAACCCCCCCCCCCCCTTGAAAAAAAACCTGCGTACGCGCCTGTTGTGATCCAATAATAAACGATGTCACTCATATCTCGATTCTTGATGAGTCCAATTTTGGAACGACCTTGTTGCGTAATAGATATTTGGGGTTTTCTCAACAATTGAAGGCAAACCGAGAACCCGACTGTTCAGAGCTTAATTATGACTCGCGATTGAACAAAACAACAACACTTTAGAAGGATTAATTGCAAAAGAAAATGTCAGATGTGACGCAAATCATAGTACTACAGATCAGTGCTTTTTAATCATGTCAATTAAAATTATAGCCTTGTGAAACTTAATCTCTAGTAATTTTGTACTTCTTCAATTTAACATTTAACAAAATATTGTTAAAAGTCACTAAGTTTGGCAAATTGTCGACTCGGAGATTCAAATACAGAAACAATCTGTATACGCTACCGAATCCAATATCTAAGAAATATTTGTGAATAAAAACAAGAAAAGAAAGACATGAACAAAATAGTTTCATTCGAATATAGTTATAGATCCATTGGTAATTCTATAGTTAGCTATATATGTACTAATATTATAATGCTTTAGAGACTTGACAGTTTGACAATTTGAAGCCACACTGAAGAAATTTTTCTCTCAGCAAATATTTACACTTCTCACTAATCTCTTACCGAGTAATATAGCGAACAAAAAATCTTATTTAAAAGCTTACAGACCTTATCCGATGAAATTTTTTTTTAAATAAGTGGAAAACTGAATGAATGTAGAATACAAATATATAAAGGAATAAAAGGTATTTTCCCTTTCAGTATTGCACAAAAGCAAATCAGAACCTCATTTTTTTTCGCAACCCTCCAAAATACTGAACAACAGGGGTCGAATTTGCCGAAGTTACAGTGACGGCATAATTTGTGAGCCCAAACGACTCACCTATAGCAGAGGCGATGACCCGTGCTTGTAAATATGCGTACTCCACATAAGATGATGTCCTCAAGTCGATATCAAATTTTTAGGTCGACAACTTCCGATTTTCAAAGCTTAAGATTTTGAGTTTTCAGAGAGCTGTTTCATTTGACATACACTAAAATGGCATATATTTAATCTATGGCTGAAAAACTTTCCGTTAATTTATAACTCATCTATTTCATCTTTTAGTTCGGATATGTTCTTTAAATAAAAAAGGGGGAAAGTTTGGGGTCAGGTTTGTGGGACAACTAAACGTATGTTAGGTCATTGTAGATATAAAATGTCGTATAACATTGAGGGAGCAAATTTCTAATAAACTTTACATAAGAGGAGTTTAAGGAAATAGGACCACAGTTTTAACTGTCAAATCAAATGTACAGCACAGTCATGTACCAGATTTACTGCAAATCCTTCGTGAAACACAACAATCTTTTTTTTTAGAAACACTTTTCCTACAATATTTTAGGCCTTTACTTCCATGGAGTAGTTTCTAGTTTAAAGTCTTTCATTTACCAGATATTTAAATGCAGATGCTATACACAAAAGGCTGACACCGAATTTAATATTCATGACTTCGTGGTATTTTTTTCAATTCATTGCTGTAAGAATAAATTGGTTTTGTTCTTTTTCTTTTAAATGTGAAGCGATTATTATTTGGGGGCTGTGACAAAGCACCTAAATTCGAAAATCTACAACATTCCAATTTTTTCTAGCAAACTGAAGGTTGTTATTTCTATTTCGTTTTATAATTTTATTTTATCTCCTAATGATCCATTGTAGAAAGAAAAATATATCATCCAATGTAAGAATTTTTTCATACCTAAGCACTACATGGAGGAGGGGGTTTGTTTTAAAAACATATTAAATGCCAGTCCACCCAGAGCCATCTAGACACAGAGTTTGGCCAATTTGGTTCCAGTTGGTTACACCATAGCATATCTTCTTTTGTTTCGTGCTTGTCTGAGAGAGCAGTATACATACACCACAGTATGCTCAATTCGAACACGGTTGGCAAAACTTCCCTAATCAATGACACTGAATCTCTCGACACAAAAGCAGCAGCAATCATCATCAAACCAATAATCAAAGAGTGAAGTATTTCTTTTTCTAATGAAACTTTTTCGATTAACACCGGTGATTACAAAATTTAATAAAGAAAAGAAAAGGGGCACATCTCTACCGCCTCCAGGCATCTTGGTTCGTCTTGATTTCATCTTTGATTTCCTCAGCTAGCAACGTTAAATCTGTAGGATGATATAACAGGCACGTGTCATTAGATCACGTGCAATGAGACCATGATATTATCATTCATTAAATAGAGCAACCATACAACATCCTCAAGTACATAACCCTGTCGAATTGAAACGTTTCTGGATAAAAGCAACTCCTTCACTTTATTCGAGTCAATTCAACATAAATGATATTCCACTTCAATATGTGAATTATATAAAATGTTTGCACAGAAACAGAAATAAACAAATATATAAAATGGCTCTAGTATTTTAAGCATCGTGATTGGTCAATACGCGTCACATGACATGCACAAATTTGTGATGCATGCACGATTTACAGAGCGGCACCAATCTAAAGAAACCTCACGTGTACTGCATTCACCGCTATTGCACGCTGGGAAGTGCGTTATTTGTATAATAATAATCTTTTTTAAAGTCCACTCCAGATTTTATTAAAGGGAAAGTCCACCCCCAAAATAAGTTTGTTTCGATAGAGGCAGAATAATAAGAAAATCAGGTGAGTGAAAGTTTGAGCAAATTCTGAATGAAAATAAGAAAGTTATGAATTATTGAAGTTGTGATCAATCAAATACAAATTCGCAACTCTGTGACTTATTATACGAGCTCTCCTTCATTAGCTTTGTGCATAATATTCCATAAAATCATGTTTTCTTCGTTATTGATGACGGAATATATATTTGTTCCTTGCAGGGGGAGTATAGAAACATATTTGCAATTATTATATTTAGGGTGCATGTATGGTTGAAATTTTTCTTGAGGGAAAATGAAAATTTTAGATTTTTTTAGTACTGAGCAAATGGAAGTTGAGCTCGCATGATACGTCTTGGAGTTGCCAATTTGTGTTTGATTGATCACAACTTCAAAAATCCTAACTTCCTTATTTTTAATCGGAATTTGCTCAAACTTTCACTGACTTGTTTCTCTCATTTTTCTACTCCTATTAAAACTAACTTAATTTCAGGGTGGACTTCCCCTTTAAGTTAAACCGAAAATGGAGATTCTTTTTGCCCAATTGATCGTGAGCCCGGCAGCCACTGAGCAGTGCCAGATGCTATAGTTAAATAATATATTAATACATTGTACATTTGATAATGTTGATAATAATAATACACAATAATTAGAGCAAGTAAAATAAGACAAGTGCGACTGCGTCTCATAATATCCCTCCGCCCTAAATTCGGTAAAGGAATTTGATGGAAGTATGACATGATAGAGAAAAAATATTATACAATCAAATGTAAACTGACGACTAAGATCTTAACCTTTTAGCTCCAAAATATAATTGTATCATCTTCCTATAGTAATACTGTCACCACGTTTGAAGCTCATACCTCAACATATTGTAATGAGTTGGGTAATAACTTTAAAATAAAAAAATTGACCTCGATGACATTTGACCATTGATCTATACTTACCGAAAATCTAACCAGATTGTCTTACAATGATGAAACATACTATTGGGAAATCGCAAGAGCAAGGCTAAAGCCTGTTACGTCGTACATGGACATTTATGACCTCTATGACCTTTGACCTATTTACCCCAAAACTGATCAGAACATTTTCCTATGGTGATACGTATTATCAAGAAGTTTGAGCCTCATATCTTAAGTGGTTCTTGAGATATTGCGATAACGAGAAAGCGGGACGGACGGACAACCCCAAAACATAATGCCACCGGCATCACTTTCGGTGGGTGGAAGCATAAAAATAATTATATCAAGACATTAACTGAGAGTTAAACAAGTACACCCACTTAATCCCTCCTCGGTGAAGCCGCACACACACCCACAGGCGCGCCGGAAGCAGTTTGGGATTGGGGGGGGGGGGGGCAAACATTCCAGGGGCACTGACGTAATGAGAAAAAAAATCGGAAGGGGGGGGGCAGACGAAAAATCTGCATCACCACCAGTCTTACACGTTACATGCAGGTCCCGCGGAACGTTTTTCAAAGTGGAGTATTATCGATCAGGTAGAGCGTAAATTGGCGTGGGGTCGAGGGCATGAGCCTCGGCAGGGGGTCAAGGGGCTGAGCCCCCGGAAGCTCAGGGGTTTTAGGTATTTAACTACGGTCAGATGAGCATCCAGGGGCCGTCTTAGGGCCCTTGATGTGGTCCAGGGGGCAGAGCCCCCGGATGCTCAGGGGTTTTAGGTATTTAATTACAGTCAGATGAGCATCCAGGGGCCGTCTTAGGGCCCTTGATGTGGTCCAGGGGGCAGAGCCCCCGGATGCTCAGGGGTTTTAGGTATTTAATTACGGTCAGATGAGCATCCTGGGGTCCGCTTTAGGGCCTTTGGTGGGGTCCAGGGGGCAGAGCCCCCGGAAACTCAGGGGTTTGGGGTATTTAATTACGGTCAGATGAGCATCTTCTTAGAGCCCTTGTTGGGGTCCAGGGGGCAGAGCCCAGGAAGCTCGGGGGATTTAGGTATTTAATTACGGTCAGATGAGCATCCAGGGGCCCGCCTTAGGTCCCTTGGTGGGGTCCGGGGGCGGAGCCCCCGTAAGCTTTGGGGTATTGAGCATTTAATTACGGTCAGATGAGCATTTTTTTATACCTTATTTGTGACATTGGCAGGTCACTTATTTTTTTTCTCCGTCTTTCTTTCTTTTTCTCTTTAACATACTTTTTCAAAAAGGGGGGGGGGGGGGGCTCGAGCCCAGCCACTTTGCAGACCATGACATAAAGGCTTCTAAATAAGCGTATTTCGCCTGACTGTAATTTGGGACTTTCTTATTTTCCAACGAACACATAACAAGTTATGACTTACACAAAAAATGGAGAAAAAATGCCGAAAAATCATGTCACAACATAAACATAAACAACGACTTCTAAAGAAAATAAAATGTTCGATTACACGTACATCCTTTCAGGTGTCCGATCAGAGTGCTTATCATTACTTTGCAGCATACTAGCCTTCAAGGTATATCCCTATTTTCCTTCCTTTCGTTTAACTAAATATTTTCGACTCTCATATCTGAGTCTAGTGCACATTTCTACATTCTTAATTTCCCCATTAATGAATATATCGATAATTTATATTACTATTTCGCGTTTACTACAATTAATCTATGTTCAGTATGTAATTATTTATTCTTATCGTCGATTCCTTAATATAGAAATATGAAAGCAGAAAATCAGGGAAACCGAACGAATAAGGGAGTTTGTGAATGTTTGAAAGTAGAGATTATGAAATGTAGGAGAATCTTAAATCAGTAAATTGATTATGCAAACGAGGACCACACTACTATCCCATAAACAAAAACATTAATACATCTATTTGTCCAAACACCAAGGCATTCTCTTATAGCCGCTGGTTGACATCTTATCATGGATGACACAGCGGTTGCCGGATTGGTATCACGTGACCCAGATGAAGATGATGCTGAGGATTATGACGATGAAGAAGATTGAGAATGTTTAATAATTAATTCTTCATCTTATAAGTATCCTTGCAAATGATCTTTGTTGACGTATTACTTACTTTTGATTTAGGACTTACTACCATTTGTAGACAAGGGAAGATGAAGGAGGTAATCATCGTTGTGTCTGATGTGTTATGCTTTTTTACAGACATGACATTAGACAGGATTATGTACTCTAGCATGTTGTATGGCTGCTCTATTAATGAATGATATGTAAACATAGTCCCATCGCACATGATCCCGGCACATCCCACACATGATGTAATGCCACGTGTCTGTTATATCATCCTACATAAATTATTTAACATAAGATTTGCTGTAAATATTTTTTGTGATGAGAGGATGATGTAAGATATGGGTCCCATCGTTAGGACTGAATGATCGTAAAAGAGTTACTTGTATAAACAATAATTAAGTATTCCCTCGAATATTGCATTCTTGATCATGTAATAATGATAATGACGTAATGCGGGTGGGGTGGTGCAGGGGGGGGGGGGGCGAGTTCCCCCTCCCTCCTCCGCGAAACGCGGAAGCTTTGTTTCATTCAATTATTAGAGAAAGAAGACGATTCGTTGTACCGTTCTCGACTCTTAATCCTCGTCTGGATTCAGTTTCCCCCTCCCGTGCGAAGCGCGGAAACTTTTACGATTCATTAAATCATTAGAGAAAGAAGACGATTCGTTGTACAGTTCTCAACTCTTAATCCTTGTCTAAATTCAGACCCCTCCCCCTCCTGCGCGAAGCGCGGAAGCTTTGACGTTTCATTAAATTATTAGAGAAGAAGACGATTCATTGTACCATTCTTGACTCTTAATCCTCGTCTGAATTCAGTTCCCCCTCCCCCCTCCTGCGCGAAGCACGGAAGCTTTCAAGTTTCATTAAATCATTAGTGAAAGAAGACGATTCGTTGTACCGTTTTCGACTTTTAATTCTTGTCCAAATTCAGCCCCCTCCCCCTCCCGCGCGAAGCGCGGAAGCTTTTTAGTTTCATTAAATCATTAGAGAAAGAAGACGATTCGTTGTACCGTTCTTGAAAATAATCCTCGTCTGAATTTGGTTCCCCCCCCCCCCCCCTCCCGCGCGAAGCGCGGAAGCTCTTACGTTTCATTAAATTATAAGAGAAAGAAGACGATGCGTTGTACAGTTCTCGACTCTTAATCCTTGTCTGAATATAGTCCTCACCCTCCCCTCCTGCGCGAAGCGCGGAAGATTTTTCGTTTTATTAAATTATTAGAGAAAGAAGACGATGCGTTGTACTGTTCTCTACTCTTAATCCTTGTCTGAATTTCAAAGATGTTCTTTTTCTGCTCCTTTTTCTTCCTACGTCCTCTTCCTTTTCTCTCCTCTCTTTTTTTTTTTTGGCCGTTGATTTTTTGGCTTCGCGTCAGGTAAACACATTTTGATACCTTGTCCGACCCCCAAAATCAGGGGTTTTAGGCGTTTAATCACGGTCAGATGAGCATATTTTGATGCCTCATATATTTTTGACACAGGCAGTTAGCTATTCTTACTTTCTTGTTCTCTTTCTTTTTTAATTTCTCTTTAATAAAAAGTGGGGGGGGGGGGGTCGAGGCTCCCGATCCCCGCAGCTCCCCGGGCCCTGACATGTAGAAATATCAAGAATCGTATTTCTTGCCTGGCTGTAAACTAGAATTTGTCATTTTCCAACAAACACATTGACAAGTATAATTTATTAAAAGGGAGGAAAAATCTCGGAAATTATGTCATTTCAGCATTATTTGTAATCCACCATTATGGAATTAGAAATAAACCACGTTTGAATTTGATTTCCCCCAAGCCACCCCCACCCCCCCCCCCCCTCTCAGTACGCCAGTATCTCCTCTCTTCCCTTTTCTTTCCCTTTCCTTCCTTCTCTCTTAATTTGTTGATGGGGGGAGGCAACAGCCTGGAAGGCAAGGCCCTTTCGGCCCCCTCCCCCGATCTCCTTCTTCCCCCTTTTCTTTTCTTCTTCCTCTACTTTCTTTCCCTTTCTCTCCTCTTTCCCTTTCCCTCCTTTTCCTTTCTTCTCTCTCTTTTTTTTTTTGCGGGGGGGGGGGGCAATGCCCGCTCGGCCCCCTCCTGGATCCGCGCCTGGTTGGACAGGTGTAGCTCTCGTTGGTGTGACTGGGGTATAAACTTACCGCATGGTGGCGGATCTCTGCATAGAGGCAGTGTGTAGAACTCTCTTTGAGACAAGAACCCGTCACCGTCTATGTCATAAAGAGTGAAAGAGTTAGCATGGCTGTCATCTGAATACAGAGGGAGCTCTTCATGCCCAGCTCTCCTGCCGATCATGATCTTCTTGTGATGCCTCTGCGCATGTGCTGTGTTGGACAATGTCGTTACTACGAAGGCCAGAGCTAATGATGCCATCAGAAAGGCTAGGTAAAAATATGTTTACAAGGGAGAAAGAACGAAATACTTATGATTAGAAATCAAGTCCGACTAAGATGATTACAACGATATAATGTTAATAATAATACTAATAATAATACTACTACTACTACTACTACTAATAATACAATATTTACAGAGCGTGTAATAAACAAAAGTTTCTCTATGCGCTTTACAAGCATGAATGACAAGAGAAATATAATCACACAAAAGGAATCAAAAAAGAAATATACGAAATGACTAACATAACATAGTTTAGATATATTGACTGCTATGAGAGGCATCGCTGCTTCTATAGGCTCAAGGGGACGTTACATCCTGCCATAACTCCGAGGCACGCCGGGGCGGGCGTCGGCCGCCTCGGGGTCATATCAGAATGTAACGTCTTCGAGAGCCAGTATAGAAACAGCTACCATTCGAATATTAAAGCAGTCCATATATCCTTTATAAACCGAATTCACAAACACATCTACAAAGAATTCTAACCTTAACCTTTTCTTGAGTAACGACTGGTTAAAACATTGCAGAAAATCTGAGACACTGTCTGTAAATCTTCGCTGGAAAGTTGCCTGAATGTAGCGATCATTCGGGAATTCGGGAATACTTTTTACACTTAACCAATGGGGATATCAGCACAATTTATTTATGCGGCCCGTTATCCGCGGACATCTTTTAAAAAGCTATTGACCGGTAGGCGGGCATGGCAAAATCACAAAACTAATTTCGACCAATCAGATGACTAGACTTATTCAACACACTAAAGAGAGGCATGTAATAACTAACAGTTAACAAGATAGCTTAGTAACATGGCCAAAACAATGATAATGAAAGTAAGGAGAAAATATAGTTTAAGCTAAATAACAATTATCATTTTCATCATCTCAATCACTTTCATGGCAATCGTATATTATATAAATATGTTCAATAAACAAATTATTTCAATAAAGTCAGTAGCGCAGCGTAAAATGTAATAGCTTAGAAGAAATACATTAAGAAGAAACATTATTATTATTATAATAATGTTTCCTAAGTAATATAATAATACTTAGGAAATCAACTAAGGCTATGATTGATAACCAGGAAAGGGCATATGATAGCGTATAATTCTTTTTATAAATGGGGGAACATTAAATTACTAATGCCCAATTTTAATGCCCATGGATATTGATAAATGATTTTAATAACTTGTGTCTTTTCGATAAATTCATACTGATCTAAGAGAAACACTACTCTGTTATCCTACATAGATCATGTCCGATGTTCGAGTATTTCAATACGTGATCAACAAGGCTATTGAATTTGCCTTAGTTAAGTTTTTCGAAAGTCTTTTCAATAGTGTTTCTAGATAAATCATACTTTCAAGTCCTGTATTATATTGAGCACTTGTCCTAATTAAATACATTAACCACTCTCTTCTGAAGCATGTTATGTGATATAGTGAAATAATTGAAATGTGTGCCATCAAGTATCTGATTTTAATACAAGATACTTCTCACTGTGTATCTTCTCCAGTTCTTATTTTTACGACAGTGTCATGTTAAGTGATTATTGTTTATGCCTTGGAATAATTGTTCCGTTTCATTTCTTCCGAGGGCTTACTTGCATATATCTAAGCATGTAAGGATGAATACCATACACAAACACCACCCCCAAAACCACTACAAAAATCAAAATGAATAAAATAATATGATAATACACTGTTGGTCATAAAGGTGGATTTATTTTTAAACCCCAAATTTATGGAATGATTTTGACAATGAATTATTCCTAGTAGGTCTAAATAATAGTATACATTCTGAGATGTTATTGGATACTAATTTGCGAGTGTTTGTTTTTCGTTGTTGCTAAAGCATGTGTATGCTACTATGTTTATCAACTAGGGGACCTACGTCCTTAAGTCATAACTGATGATAATGAGGACTAATGCCTCAAAAAAGGTCACACATATTAGCTGATCGACACGGTTTTGATCCTGGGCCTCACATGCCTTGAACTATAATGCATGGCCATATAGAGTAATTTTTCCTGTCGGGGACCGGGGGAAATGCAGTGAATAATTATTGATAATTTATGCATTTTCTTTGTTTTTTTTATATATGTGGGGCTGCCCCTTACCCTAGCCTCCGCTGCGTACAGTCATGATTTAGTGGCAAAGCAATGGCATATTTACTGTGGGGCCCCAGGATCAAAACCTTGTCGATGTGCTATATCAGTGCCCTTTTGTGAGGCATTAATCCTCATTGCTGTCAGTTATGACTTAAGGATGTAGGTCCCCTAGTTGATAAACATAGTAGCATACACATGCTTTAGCAGTCACGCAAAACAAACACTCGCTAATTATTATTCAATAAAATATGAGAATGTATACTATTATCTAGACCTATTAGGAATAAATCAATGTCAAAATCATTCCATAAATTGGGGTAAAAAAAATTATTTCACCTTTATGACCAACAGTGTAATAAAATTATATTTAGCAACACATATGTTTATATATACATTCAAATTCAAATAGAATAGATTTTAAAACAAATAAGAGAAGGGAAAAATCCCGGACAACTACCCCTTAAAGGTACTATGTCCCATTTGCAGGCCAAAAAAATGAAAAGGTTAAATTCCAACTGCATTTGAAAGATAATACTAATTTAGAACTTCCCTAAAAAAGGTGGGGCTTGAAAATGTCTTCAAGTGGGAAAATAACGACTATTAGTTGTCAAATCGACTTAAGGGCTATAGAGCCCAAAAGTAATAGTCTTGATTTTCAGACAATTGTACCGAATGGTAATACCTTTTATGCTGCGCAAAGATTCAATCAGTTTAATCTTGGCCATCACGAGAAGTCGGTTATTGATGTAGACAAATGCTCATGTACCCTTTACAACTCTCTTCATGTATGTTATTACCAAAGAAGAAAAAAAGCCAGTCAGTCACTCAATAGTGTCTGACAGTAAAGTCTAGCAAGTAAACGGGTTTCCTTGAATAATTTGAATATGAGGACACTGCTAACGTTTAAATTTCACAGATAGGATAAACATGACATATTCATAATTCCTGCAAAGTTCTACAGAATTTGAGGTTGGCTGCAAAAGGGACATAGTACCTTTAAAGGTACTATGTCCCATTTGCAGGCCCAAAAAATTAAAAGGTTAAATTCCAACGGCATTTGAAAGATAATACTAATTTAGAACTTCCCTACAAAAAAGGGTGCTTGAAAATGTCTTCAAGTGAGAAAATAACGACTATTAGTTGTCGAATCGACTTAGGAGCTATAGAGCCAATAAGTAATAGTCTTGATTTTCAGATCATTGTACCGAATGGTCGTACGTTTTATGCTGCGCAAAGATTCAATTAGTTTAATTTTGGCCATTACAAGAAGTGGGTTATTGATGTAGAAATGCTCATGAACCCTTTACAGCTCATTTTATGTATGTTATTACTAAAAGAAGAAAAAGCAAGTCAGTCACTCAATAGTGTCTGACAGTGAAGTCTAGCAAGTAAACGGGTTTCCTTGCATAATTTGAATACTAGGACACTGCTAACGTTAAATTTCAGAACATACATGGCATATTGATAATTCCTGCAAAGTTCTACAGAATTTGAGGTTGGCTGCAAAAGGGACATAGTATCTTTAAAATGATCATCCAACTAAACTTCGGGAGGCATTCGTTTTTTCCGAAAGTCCATAAATCCGAAGCACAAAAAACTTCCCAATTCCAAGAAAAACGAAATCAGAGTCATAAGTTTGAACATTAAATATTTTTGCCTTGTTCCGAAGGTTCGTTCATCAGAAAGTTAAACATTCTGAAAGTGAAATAAGGTTCATTATTCCGAAAAACAATACAGAGTTCTATGTCATTAAGGAATTGTGATCCTTCGAAATTACGAACCCTATATTACATCTTCGGAATTATAAACCCTTCCTCATTTTCGTAAACACGAACCCACGAAATTATGAACCTTCGGAGTAACGAAACTTCGTAATTATGGATCTTTAAAAAATACCCCATGTAACCTTAACTCCGGGCCTTAATTTTAGACTCTTCGGAGTGGTAGTTAGAGGGTAGATGTCACGGCACTTTTCAAAGAAAATATTTGTCCAAATTGGTAGTTGTTCGGGGATAGTTGTCCTCCAAGGCAGTATCCAAGTTTTCCACTTTTTAAGTTACCGTTAGTATCTTTTTGTACTCTGCCGCTCAGAATAAGCCTGCACCAGCTCTGAGTATGAGAACTTTTGAGAACTTAGAAACTTCAAATATGACTTTAATATATTTGGGTTTTTAAAAAAAGGTGAACTCTTAACTAGATTTTCAAGAGTAGGCTTATTTAATTGTCGAATGCAAGATCAGGCATATTCTATACCGTGATTAAAAGGGTTTTCATGGAGCTAATTAAGACCGGAAATGGGTAATGTTCAAAGCCATGATGTTGCACAAAACGATCCTTGAACTGGTGCCTATTGTTTTGTGCAAAATTGCACTCGTGGCAAACGAGCAGTGGTGCAGTGGCAAGAGGAAAGTAACCCATGGCCAAGTGCATGTTTTATAATGTAAAGGAGGAATATGTAACATTTTAGAGTAACTGTCAGATCAGTTATATCGAAAGAACCCATACAACCTGTCCTATCCCCGTCATCCCTGTAAATAAATTTATGATCTATTCAAAGGTCAGAAAGTCGAGAGAAGTAAACTTGTTTAATCCTTATAATCCATCAATAATTTTGCAAGGTTCCAAAAGAAATTAAAATCTATATTCTCACGCTGCAAGACCGTCACGTTCACGTGAAGTTAATTTAATGATGTTTTAGACGCTTATATATCTATGACGTTCTAAATCGCTGTACAAATTCAGCATCACGGTTATCTTCTGACTTGCCTGCATATTGTATGCACATTCTCTATTCCCTGGGGAGCATTACAGTCATGTGCCATTTTATAGACGATTGCATTGCTAAACAAACCAAAATGACCTACTCATTTAAACACCGGGATTGAGAGAAGCGATGTTACATTGCATTCTTGAGGACATGAGTGCCGTAATGGGGATCGAACCCACGTTTTGGCATCTCCAATCAAAATGTTAAAACCACTCGGTCTTTGACAGACACTTCTGATGTAGAAATATTAGGCCACACGGAAAAACATCAACATAACAATGTCAAAAACACTAATAACACTGGTGAATCTTATTTAAAGAAAAAGATAAACAAATTATATGTTTACTTACGTAAGGCTTGCATCGTGGTCACGTTGTATATCAAGTTGTTCATATGTGAATCAAACCAATCAGTTTCCTACAATAATGTACAAATTTTGTATTAAAAAAAACGATTAGGAAAAAAATACATCTGGCTACTCTCGAGAACCAGCCGTGATTGTGAACAAGTGAGCCACCCCTTCATTGCATTAAATACCCCATCTCCATCTCAAGTTGATGAAGAAGGTGTGGTTACATAGGCCCCTCTTAAACGCTCATCTACATTTCTTGTTCAAACCTGACAAGGAAAAAAAGAGATTGATAATTAATGGGTTTGGTTGTAGACAGGGATTTGTTGATACATCTTGCCAGGTGTTCCCTATGTTAGGCTTAACCGTTTTATTTGTCGTCTCTCTGCGTTCCACCGTTACCTAGTAAGTGACCGTTCACGGTCTGTGAATGACCTCTACTTGACATCTAATACAGGGATCATGACATGCGGACACTCAATGGCCAAACACTCCCAATGTGAGAAATCAATCATTATTGGTCAAGAATATTTTACTGATATAAAAAGAAGGACTAATTACGTTCTAAACGTGATAAGGGCAGTCCCGACCATACCTCTGAATACAAATAGATGTACGATCAATTGTTATTGATTTCAGATTCATATCCATATCTGTAATTTAGATGTGCTATATTATTTAATAGTGCTGTCCCATCACTGTATTATCTTAACTACTGATGGAGCTACCCTGTTGATATAAAACGAAATAAATAAAATAATAAAAAATCACTGAGTGCGCCTTTTCTTGATTTGTAATTTAATACATTAAAGTTTTTAAAGATCTTGATCTAAGATCTTTCAATTAGTGCAATATTATATGTCATTACTACATCTTATCTTCTTATTTTTGTCTTGCATTTTAGTTTGTCTTTATTCCAGGTACGGTTCTCAATAATCCAAGCACTGCAAGGTCGCCGAACTATCATTGAGGACTTTGAAGTCACCTATTACATTTATTGATATTAATATTAATTGATAATTGAATACCAATATTGGACTATGACATGTCTGCTTTTAAGATAAATTGATTTACTCATGATTGTCAGATTGCTTGAATAAACTAATACTACTAATTTGTCAGGTATGAGAGTGTCAGTAGCGGTAAGGCTGTTGGGGTATACCGTTCACAACATTAATGAAATGTTGATTCTTTAGCCTATATTCTTAAGCCTTTTACCAAATTTTCAAAGATGCCGAATTGAAACATACATTTTTTTAAAAGGATAAAGTGGACTCATACACGCTTCCGGATCACCCCCCCCCCCCCCCCCCCAGCTTATCTCTCTCTCTCTCTCTCTCTCTCTCTCTCTCTCTCTTTTCTCTCTCTCTCTCTATTTCTAACTAACTAACTAAATTACTAATTAGTGTACATGGCACATTACTATATCGGCGTGAAATGAACACTTTTGGAATTCGGATTGACAAATAATAAACCACAACTCATATCAAACAGGAGTTTACACAATGTAAAGTTGAATAGCCGTCAATTTTTTATTTATTCTTTTCAAATGTTTATATACACTCAGTAAAAACAGAAAATAAACGCTACTCAAAGTTAAGATTCCAAAATAAATATATAAAATATAAACTTTATCTATCTCAAATCAAAATAAACATAGGCCAATCCTCTTTCAATTGGAATCATCGTACGATCCGTGTATGGTGTGCTTAGAAAGCCTTAGAAGTAAATGAGTCTCTGAAAGAAAATTGCAATAAGGGGGCACATTTTTTTGAAGTTTGTAAAGTGTAGGCCTACTACATAATTATATAGACCTGCGTCTAAATATGTCGACTGAATCCTTTACCCCCCAGCTAACATCAGGCCAAATCGAAATTTGCGAAACATATAAATAAGTGGAAGGACTAATGTAGCATTTCATGCCGAAATAGAAGTTGTTTTTCTCTCTATTCCTACGTCATGTTGGCTTGATGTGTTCACTAACAGCATACAGATCAGCTGAATATATAGCAACCAAACAACGCTCGTTCTGCCTACTGGGCATGCCTTAATCACACGTGGAAGAACAAGACGATGTAATTGGTGCATGTATCGCCAAATTGCGATTTTTCATTTTAATGATAACAATAACATATTTTTATAGTTTTATTGAATCGTCATGGCTTAAACGTTTGCCAATTACAAGTTGTGATTTATACTGTATAAAACTCAGGTTATGTCGTTTTTGTTCATATTGTTTACCCGCCAGTCCTGAAGATGGATTGACGTTTTTACTTAAGAATGTATTTTTAGACCCAAAGGCGTAGATCGACCCACCTCCCCCCCCCCCCCCACATCAAATGGCGAAAAAAAATAAAGTAAAGAAAGAGCCGGGGAAATGAGAGGAGGGAGGCAACGTGAAAAACAAATTATAAGAACCCCCTCCCACACCCACCCCTCACTAGTTTGTCTCAGTGTCCGCTCATCATCCAGGGCACCGTTGCACAAAACTTACCATTGATGTATACCTTTGCCATCAATAGTAACTACCATGGAAACCTTGATTTTGATTGGCTGTTGAGCCCTGTTACCATGGTAGTTGCCATTGATTGCAATGTTACCATCAATGGTAAGTTGTATGCAACGGGGCCCAGGCCTCCACGAGCCCCCCCCCCCCCCCCCCCCCCCGCTAGAAGAAAATTTGTGTTTAATCATTTTTCTTTTATTATAAAATGATGTATGATAAGCGTTCTTGTGCTTTACAATATAAACTTTAAAAAATGTCCACATTTCTCACTCGATCGCACAGCAATAAATGCATTGTAATACACTATATGAAAGGCACTAGAAATAGTGGGCATATACTTGTGTCTAGCAAAGGAGATGGGGGCAATTTTTCCCTCACACGACAACTGCAGCCTACCAATTATGTAGTGCTCTAATATTAAAACAGTTTACGTTTCTTTGGAGAAAGAGATAATATTGAAATTCTGTCTACTTCACTAGAATTAGCTCCAGTCCACCCTAATAAGAAGATTTTTTTCTACTTTTCTACTCCAAGTATCAATGTTTACACTAGTACAAATCAAATACAAGTATCAACGATTTGTTAGGTCACAGAGCAGCATTTGTTTAGATGTCTCTCTCTCTCTCTCTTTCCCTACGGATCACCCCACCCCCTTTTTTTCCTTCCTCTCTCTCTCTCTCTCTTTCCACGCTCTCTCCCAGCAACATTAAAGTGGAAGTCCACCCTAATAAAAAGTTGTTTTAATACAAGGAGAAAATGTGATGAACAGATAAGTGAACGTTTAAGAAAAATCGGACAATAACTTTTCATGAAATACTTCAAATCTGTGAGTCAAATTAGCAACGCGGTCTCTAAATATGATGTCAGCCCCTCACATTGTATCCTTTGCTGATGCAAGAAATATCATTAAATTCCATTTGATAAAAAGATACATGTTCTTCATGCCCATCCTGATCATAATCAATCAACATTCAGAGAAATTGAGATTTTGGGCCATTCTGTCATTCAGATCAGTGGTGAATAGTGAGGGGATGATAACACAGTTTATTACCGCATTGCCAATTTGTCTTAAAGATTCCATAATTTTCATGATTTTTAAAGATTCACAACTTTCTTATTTGTTGTCTGATTTTTCTTAAACTTTCACCGAATTGTTTCTCTAATTTGTTTGCTTTTATTAAAACCAATTAAATGTTAGATTGGAATTCCCCTTTAAGAAATTTAGAACAAAATATGAACTCACTTGGCCACATTTGTTTACAAAGAGTTTTAATATATATCATCATTTCTCACAATTATTATTTACAACAATTTCAGAAAAAAACAAAAACAAGAAAGGCTGAAACACTAACACAAGATCAAGGTAGATCAATATTCAGTGACACGCTCAAAGCACATCATGGTGGAGTGAAAGTTTGATATAATAGTAATATAAATCTGTATATACTGTATGATCATGACTCTGTAGGCCAACTATAGATAAGACACTGAAGAAGAAAAAAACAATCGCATGAAAAAAGGCACATACAGTAATATGTGCAATTTCTTCCAATGTGGAGACACATATCATCTCTAAATGTTATCATTATGCTCAGAATAATATTCAGAAGATTTTTTTTAAAAACTAAAACAATATTTATAAACACATTTAGCAGACTGACAATTTTTAGGGTCGGTTCATATGGGCCCCACGGCTCAGTTAGAATTTGTGGAAGTCTGGAATTAGAACTTAAGGGCATAAGTGTGAGTGTGCTGGATGGCTATAAGTGACAAGCCCTGCATTAAGGATTATAAAAAAAATCTTTTAGCAATTCTGTTATTCCTATGTGTGCAATCAGTAGTTGACAGATCTCACCATCATACTAAGTTCAAAGTCTTTGAATTTTAGATGTTTTGGGGTCTGATACATAACACTTCAAACTTTTTTTCAAGCTTCTCAATAGCACAAATGAAAAAAGAAAAAGATATATATATATATATATATATAAAGTATCATACAAAGATATGGCACAATATAAAGAACCGCTTCTGTTAAATATGACTCTTTCCACTTGACAAAAATTCTCTTTACCAACAGGACCAATAGCTGCAAACAACATGTTACTTTTTCATATACAACAGAATACTAGAATGATAGCTCCACACAAACATATGTGCATGTTCATCATATTATAGTATATAGTTGGTCTTATCAGAAGTTTAAGGCAAAAACTAGTGCATGTAACAATTTACTGAATTACATGTACCAAAAAGCTTCACAATATATGATATATATATTGTACATATGTGACCTATAACTCTTATGCTCATCCAAGTAATGTGGACCAAGTCTTGACTTGCCCATATTCAGTTTGATTGCTATTCTCCTTCCCTGATGTTTGCCCCAATAAATAATAAATGAATTAAGTTTAGTAAGTGTTATTCAGAAAATGTAAGCCCTGTAACACAACGAAAAGTTTATGCCGATTGCTATTTTTCTAGTGAAAGACATGTACAATGGTATTTGATCAACACATCAATTGTTAAGCTTGTTTTATGCCCCCTCCCTTAGGCATTCTGATACAATGTATATGGCAGACAATATTTGACCATTTCAACACGATTGATACTCATTTTATATTTACATACTCATACATGCTATAGGTTCGTATCCCCATGCTAAATGACATTTTCTCATGAACTTTAAGGTGTCCTAGTAGAAGATATCAACACACTGGCAGATGGACAGATAATGAACCTGAAAACAATATGTCTCTGAAATCATCTTTAGTGAAATAATAATAATAATAATAATAATAATAATAATAATAGCCTAATAGTCCACTCCAAATTTTATTAAACCGAAACGGAAATTCTTTTTGCCCAATTGATCGTGAGCCCGGCAGCCACTGAGCAGCGCCAGATCGACGTTGCTCTATCCCTTATTGTTGAACGCCAAACAAGGTAGCAACAACTCCCATCTTTTAACGTCTTTTGGTATGACGCGGCCGGGGTTCGAACCCATGACCTCCCGGTTGTGAGGCGGACGCTCTACTGACTGAGCCAACACTATAAAAGTAATTTGAAAAAAATATATTTAATGCTTATGAAATGACAATATTTTTGAAGTTACTGTGCTGGACTAATTATTTAAATAGCTGTGTACTAGTTCAGAAAACTAATTGGAAAAACCTAATAATTCAATGTTAGGCTTGTCACAGGTGTGATTCCAAGGACAAAATCACTCTGTGAGATTGACTTTGTGACAAAAATCACTCTGTGAGATTGACTTTGTGACAAAAATCACTCTGTGAGATTGACTTTGTGACAAAAATCACTCTTTGAGATTGACTTTGTGACAAAAATCACTCTTTGAGATTGACTTTGTGACAAAAATCACTCTTTGAGATTGACTTTGTGACAAAAATCATTCTGTGAGATTGACTTGTGACAAAAATCATTCTGTGAGATTGACTTTGTGACAAAAATCACTCTTTGAGATTGACTTTGTGACAAAAATCACTCTGTGAGATTGACTTTGTGACAAAAATCACTCTTTGAGATTGACTTTGTGACAAAAATCACTCTTTGAGATTGACTTTGTGACAAAAATCACTCTTTGAGATTGACTTTGTGACAAAAATCACTCTTTGAGATTGACTTTGTGACAAAAATCACTCTGTGAGATTGACTTTGTGACAAAAATCACTCTGTGAGATTCACTTTGTGACAAAAATCACTCTGTGAGATTGACTTTGTGACAAAAATCACTCTGTGAGATTGACTTTGTGACAAAAATCACTCTGTGAGAATGTTATTTTGAGTGATTTTTGTGACAGAATCATGCATGTGTCACATGGCGCCCCATATGTGCGTAATGGAGTCACACCGTATACGTGTTAATACAATTTTTGCAAAGAGTACGGTGTAAACCCGGTCTATAGTGTGCCTGCATACGTAACTGGTAAACTACATAGCCTACAGATCATCCAGATGGGCTGCATAGCCCTTTGAAGATTACAAGTAGAAGAAGAAGAATATATCGCCTCTTACTATTCATTCACACACCAATTTTGCTTTAGCAGTTTTACAGTGTGATATCTGAATACGGCTTGATGATTCCTTTGAAGCTAACTTGGTAAATATTGGCATCAAGATAAGAAACATCACATCTTAAACACACTGGCTGTGCGTTGTAGTTTGTTTCATAATTTCATGCTATGAAAGTAGAGCATCAAAGTGGCACCATTCTTGAAGCATGTCTTCTTACTCCAGGCATTCTCAGCGGATGGCACCTGATTTGGAGGTCTCTGAACTATTTGGATAAACCACAGATGATGACTTTGTCTTTTCTTCTGTCTCCTCCTCCTCCTCTTCATCACTCTCCTCAGAACTGAACATCATAAAAAGGGTAACATGTAAACATCAAATAGATATTCCAAATATACATTATTATACAAATAATGAATGGTTATGAGTTCAATAGTGCGAATATGTTCATGAGTTGAAAGATTAACATTCTATTCAACGAGGCGTCAGCCGAGTTGAATAGAATTAACGTTAATCTTTCAACGAATGAAAATATTTGCACTATTAAACGAATGAAAAACATTCATTATTTGTTTTATACAACATCGAAGAAGACCTAATAGAACGTTAATCAACAAATTATGCTTTACTCCTTATAAAGATAAATTACAGTTCGAGTCAAGCCTTCTCAATTACATGCAGATTGCCTTCGCGTCAGATACACGCAGGGATACGCGCGCGCACATGCAGCAGAGAGATACGCAGTCTGCATATAACCAAAAATGCACGGCGCATATAACCAAAAATGCACGACCGTGCAATATACCATCTATTGAATATCATGTGACCAATAATCGTCCAATCAAATGACAAGGATCCACGTAGGTGTTGTATAAAACACAAAATATCACAGAAATATAGTTTTTCAAAATACAAACAGTTCGAGTCAAGCCTTCTCAATTACATGCAGATTGCCTTCGCGTCAGATACACGCAGGGATACGCGCGCGCACATGCAGCAGAGAGATACGCAGTCTGCATATAACCAAAAATGCACGGCGCATATAACCAAAAATGCACGACCGTGCAATATACCATCTATTGAATATCATGTGACCAATAATCGTCCAATCAAATGACAAGGATCCACGTAGGTGTTGTATAAAACACAAAATATCACAGAAATATAGTTTTTCAAAATACAAGGAACAGGGTATTGCTGTCTGTATGGAGAAATTGTTATAAGTCATCAAGATACATAATAATATTCTAACACTTAAGGGCATTCACATAACTATCAGGTCCTACTTTGCAATTATTATCATAAAACCAATGCTCACAGGGTGCAATAGCAATTTTCTGTACTTCCACTTATGCATGACGAAAACAATTGTTGTTTTATTTACAAATGAAATGATTGCCAATTAAATTCTAAGCTTGTAACAATTCCCTTCATAAAAGTAGTGTATGGAAAGAAAAACTAAGGATATTAATTAATTATTAATAAGAATATCCTGCTAAAAATAACAACTTTTTCGATTTTGCAATCATTTCATCACACGCAAAGCTAATGATAATAAAACTGAAAATATTACATACCTGTCACTTTCAGAAGATTCTTCTTCTTCATCACTGTCTTCATCCTCATCATCCTCCTCATCCTCATCATCATCATCCTCATCATCTTCACCGCTCTCGTCTTCACTACTGCTTCCATACAGCTGTCGGTGCCACACTAGTAAAGTAAAAATAAACAAAAGACTTTTGAATATATACATGTATTCAGGATTTTCTTAGACTAACACTCACTTAGCAATATCATTCACAAATATTTGTTCAATATTCACTGCATTGTTTAACAATTTACATTGTAGAACATAATGCTCAAAGTAAAATGATCAATCTTGAAAGGTATAATGTAGGATGAGACCCCACCTCCATGACCAAACAAAATCCAGGACTTATAATCAGCATGAGATGAATTAAGTTAAAATATCACTCACTATAATAAAAACGCAGGAGTTTAAATCACAACATTTTCATGATCATAAGTTGTAAATGTCATGAATATTGCTCACTGATTTAATACCCCATGTGCACAAAGGAGTTTGAAGACAATTGAAAATGATTCTATACTCACTTCTTTTCAGCATCTCCTCAATAAGGGGCTTGAACTGTAAGCATTCTGCATTTTCAGGTTCATATATCAGAACTGTTATAAAAGAAAGAGGTAAGAAAATAACGTAACTCAAGTTGTAGGTACATGAATTTGAATTCTAAAACATTCTCCAAATTATACTACTGTGATTGTTTATAGCTTGTGTTTTAAGAAATCAAAAGAAAAAGAAATCTTGGTGGAAAATTTAATATAATTGTAAGAGATAGAATGCATATTACCCCTTCTGGAATATTGACAATAGAATGAATATCCTAAACTTTAATCATCATTCAGCTTGGATTAAATACATCATAATTATTTAATTAATTCAATCTAAATTTCTGAATAATTTTGAATTAGCAATTTTTTGGGGGGCGCTTTTACTTACTCATTTTACACAGCTTATCTGCGGTTTCATAGTCTTCTTCCATCACAGAATCTAGGAACTAAAAACAAAAAATCAATTCAATGCCTATTTTTGAAGTCCTGACTGTCAAATGTTTAGCAATGAAAACAATGAAAGAAGGTTTTTGGAAATGTGTGAATATAAATACAAATATACATCTTCAATGTTATTTTAAACATGTATTACTCTCTTGAAAGAATGAAAGGAGGAGCACAACTCCCCAATATATATATATAAAGCAAAGCAAAACGAAACAATTGGGTTAATAAAGGGGGGGGAACAGGGGCCTCTTCTCATTTACCACTATTTATACACTGGCATTTATAAACTTACTTCTCCCATGAGTTCAATTGGAGCAGTTGGTCCTTCTTCCTCATCATCATCCTCATCACCATCATCTTCATCGTCATCCATCTTAGTCTTGTCAGGTTTATCGTCTCTGCTGTCTTCAAGGAATGGTGGAGGTCCAGCAGTGGCTCCCTTACTTGTACCGAGTTCATTAGCTGTAATGGATACAAGTATTTAGATATGATCATCATCTTAATCAATTTAATTCAATAAAGAATGTTTCTCCGAGCAGCCTGGGAGGTGAGCTATTTCATTTGCCTATTGTGTAATTAAACTATCATGTGCACATTTGATGTTGATATATCAGGCTACTCTACTAACAAACTTTAAGGATATCAAAAACTGATTTTGATTAGAGAAGATGACAACAGTTTTAAATTCAGTAACTACTCTTATCTTTCATTTTGAAGGGTGATGCAAATTTACCAAAGTTCACCAATGACAAGCCAAAAGATTGGATTCACAAGGATTCACGATTACCAATCTGGCCATAAAATAATGATGAAATAAATTTCAGAGTACCATCCCTTACTTCATAACCATGCAGAAACAGTGAAAATAAACAATTTCTCAACATGTAATGATGCCTTGTAGTAAAATCTTCAGAAAATACAAAATATGAAATAATCAATCTCACCTGGAGTCATTTCTGCTTGGCCACCTGTTGAAACATAGTAAGAATCAGACAAGGTAGAAGAAGGTTCTTTATCTGGAAATGTTATGAGAGTTGATTTCCAATTATTCATTTGACAAGACATCATCAAAAGGGCAACAATTTGATATCAAAAAGTATTGGGTAGAAGAAGAGAGATGACATTTTGCGGTTGGCCAATGTTTATTCCAATGGCACATACTTTAAGAAGCTCAATGGCTCTCTGAGCCGTGTGTTACTAGTAGTTGGGGAACAGCTAAAGCCCATTGCAATATATATCGCAACTATTCCTTTGCTAAGTGTGCAGTAAAGATTTACTAAATGTAGATCACTTGCTGGCGTGTTGACACCATTTGTGCTCATTTTAACGTGCCATTAATATTCACAATTGTCTCTACATGTTATCGAAATACCGGTATGTGCATTCTTTATTAACATACAAATCATGATGATTCAGGCTCTTTTGATAATTTATGTAAAACTAGACTTTAAAAGATCCATTTTCTATCTCTCAATCTCACCTTTCCTCTTTGCTGCACTCCCTGACTTTCTCCTCTCTTCATGTTGTTTGATCTCCTTGTCCTTCATACTCAACTGCTCCATCAGATAGTTCAACCTCTGCTCCGTACGTTCCTTCTCTGACATAACATTAACCCCATCACCGTTCCCTCCATTCGCACCCACTCCTATCACCCCCTCAGCTTTATGGGATAGTCCACCAGTGGCTCCCAAAGTCTTGTTTTTGTCTAAATGTGTATGGCTTGTTCCATTTGTTAGAGGGGGTGTTAGCCTGGCAATGTCTTCTGGTACAAAGTCCCAATTTTCATTCTTTGGAATTCCATGCCTGATGAGGAATGCAGAGAAAAATAAGGATAAACAGTGTTTAATGCCATTAAATAATAGATTGATCTTATATATTTATGTGAAATTAAATTGTTGCATTGCTAAAATATCTATCTTGAATGGGTGACAATTTATGTCTCTTCTATACTCAACCTTTGTGATTGTAAAAAGATGAATTTGGCTGTTTTCTTTGTATTTTCTTTGTTTAATATACAATTTCTACCTACAAAGTTTGGTAAACTCATATAGCTGCATTCTGTCAAATATTTCTAAAAAATGTCACATATGTGGGACTTTTCCAGTTTCCGTTTATTTTTTGTTACCTTCCTGTCCTAAGCACTAATTGGGATTGATTTGACCTCATGGTAAAAAAAAAACAAAAAACAATTAAGTAAAATTCTTTTTTCTGAGCTACATTTCACTGACTGCGTTTAAAAGATAACTTAGCAAATCTAACCTGCTGAGCTAAAAAGCCAGAAGGGAATTGATTGTGTTTAATAAATCTTTAGAGCTACCGTAACTCCATTATTGCTCTTGGTGGAAAATCAGATCTATCAAAAAGACCTGCCCTCCGTCAATACACACTCACGTTTCATAGTTTCTCTTGACAGTGGTCAAAGAAACCTGTTTGTGGATAGTACTGCCTGGTCTAGATTCCCCTGGAGTAGGTGAAGCTGAAGCAAGACCAACCAAACTGTTAGCCCTGTTGAATCCTGCATCATTACCCTCCTGACCTTGACGCGACCTCCGACCTGATGACCCGGCACTCTGTGTTTGACGAGGACTGTTATCATCAGCACTATCGGTCCGGCTAGATGGGCGATGACTCGTGCGACTGGATGTCCTTGATCCAGATCTGTCTTTGATTGGCTCATCTGTAAGTAAACATGAAAGGTTAGCATCCATTGTTCAGTTTTCTGTACTAAATCTTGAATTATACATAGCAACTAATAGAAGCCAAAAAGAATATCTGATTGATTTATAGTTATTCTGTACAAAAATTCTTTGATTCTATCTTATTTTTCTATTTTTCTTTATTTAAATCAATTTTGTATTGTATAGCGCAGGAACTTTTTATATGTGTGAATTTTTTAGCATACCGCTACCGTACTTGTTTTTATCTCTGCAACTAATCTACAATATTTAGTATAGACAGGGGTCAGATGGGGTCAATTATCGTACACCCACAATGAAGGAGCAAGAAACATTCTGTATCCAAATTGGGCCTTTCATCACATTTCCCAGGCTTCCCTGAGTTCCCTCCATCATGAAAATCAGGTAGCTTTTCACGTTATCAAATCACTTGTCCTAATTTAGAATTGTAAAGATAATCAACATACTTTTGCTTCCATAACAAATTACCTATTAAGGTTTTCATATAGTACAAATGAAAAATTATTGACAGTTTTTTTTATTATCTCTTACCATCCGGTGGCAACACTTCTAGCTGGCTTCCTGATCTCTGTATGGGGGTCTGAAATTAATCAAACCAGTGATAGTTTGAAAATATTTGACAAATATGTAAAGTTCTAATTGTCATTCACAGTCACAGCACTTCTACTTCAGACCTAAAATAATAAGAAGTTCTGTTCCTCCAACATTGAGGCCTAACTGACCGGTAGATCCAATTTAGCAATAAAAATGCAATATACTCAACTGTTTTTCAGCAATGAGAGTTTGTAGATATGTCAATTTATGTTTATTTGTTGCTAAATTTGTGAATGTCGATTACACGTATGTGAATTTTGATCTTTCTTACAAATACACTTCTACAGTAATGTATGTGGTATGTTATCTCTCTTACAAATGGGGTTCATCTTTATTTCATCAGAGTATATTCCTTCTTATGATTTATACAAATGTGTTTTTCCTCTCTGCATTCTCCTAACTTGCACTGTACTATCTTTGTCATTTGTATATATGTTGTAGGGTATATGAATTTGTTGTATTTCATTTGGTTAGTCAAGATATAGCAGCCTTCAGCTGCGATGATGAATTGTTCAATAAAATTATGTTTGGTCTCACCATGTTTCTTGATCGTCTTCCTGACGGAGGCCTAGGAATGGGAGAAAATAATGAAGAAATTAGATTGGATTAGACGAAGAATCGGTCAATTATTTAGTTCTGAACATTGAAAGTACATTTTTCAGAATACAGAATCACATAATCTACATGAAGGGCCAGTTACCCAAGACTGTCTTGTATGGTAAATAAATCTAAGCAATTCATCATTACGGACGCTAACTTCACACGCTTACCCCACCGTCGGTACGGTATGCAATTGTATTGTGCAGCAGTTTGCCGCGAATCCTGTGAGAAAGTGTATATTATTTGAGACCTAGCTTTAAAGCTCTCTAGACCTAGACCTCTAGATCTATACCTAGATCTATAAGACTTTTTTTTAAAGAAAAATATTCCAAAGAAGATAAGAAAATTGACACAAAACGGGTCTGGAAACATCACAACTTTTAGTCATAACTTTTATTTGAACAATGATGAAGAGTTATCATTTATTTAGTTGAATTCTGCAATGTTTTTAGTAGGGTATGATCTCCACGCCGGAGTAACGGCTACGGAGTACGGGTCAAAATATCATGGATTCTGAATTAGACTCTAGTAGATCTAGTAGACTAGTAAAAAGTTAGGTCTAGATCTAGGGGGGTCTAGTAAGGTCTAGCACCAAAGAAATACGCAAATACTTGAATTGTTTAAAGTGTTCATTATAATTCTAGACTAGACTACATGACACCACCTCTAGACGTTAGTACTTCTAAGCGCTGTCTGGACACCAATTCTGAGATTTGTGAATGGCCAAGAAATTTAGTATTAAGCAGGCTGTGCATGTGCCTGACGTCTACTGCGTTTGCGTGTTGGCGCCGCCCTGGTTGCGGCGCGGCTTACCTGCTGGCCGTGGGTGAGCCAACCACGGTAGAAATACCGCCAGCTCCCCGATCGAGGACCGCCATTGAATTAGGAGTGGTACTGTCATCTCTACTCTCCATTTTGGCTCACATTCGTAGGTCTCACCACTTTTAAATCATCTCAATAAACTCTTTGAAACATACATAAAATATTGTGGAACAAGATTTTGTTATTCTTCTATGAGGCTTTGTATGATACTTGACGGAATTAGGGCCTTCAACTGCCAAAGAAAAAATTGTTTACAGTCGCGTAGATACTATTTTTCGACATGTATGGTAGCTAGCAAAAGAAAAGGAAAAAAATAAGGACAATTGGGAATTTTTAGGATCATAAATTGCTTGAATATTGATTTGAAAGAGAAACCACAGTATGAATAGAAGGCCTACACTCGCATCGATTGTTTGTACTGATATTTGTATCACTGGCAGATTTTTTCTAAATATGATAAACCGTGAAAAAAATAAATGAAGAAGAAAAGTCATTTGGAAAAAAGTCGACATGTCCTTATTATATTAATAATAATAGCATTTTAATAGACTGTATTAACCGGTATGAAATACAACTTTGGACACATCAGAGAATGAATTTCGGATGGCAAGGGTAGATTGCTGAAGCGAGAGAGGAAAAATTCAAAGATTTTTTAAAGATACATTTGAGAAGGGGGCACTCCCTAGAAAAGAAAAGGGACACTTAACTGATCAAAGTAAAAAGGGACATTTTTCTTAACTGTGAAGAAGAGGGACTGTGCCCCTCCTGTCTCAATGGGAACGCCACCTCTTATCATTCAGTATATGTATATGTTAGCCAAAACCCCCAAAACAGTAATCAGTTTAGGTTTTGATTGATATCACCTAAATGAATTGCACACATACCCTTGCAATGGTCTGTAAGATAACATTTCATACTTCTTTAAAAAGATATATGGAAATAAAATGTGGAATGTCAATGAATTCACCCATAACAATACAGTATGAGGGTCTGATGGCAGGCGCGGATCCAGGATTTCTTAGGGGGGGGGGCCAAATTTGAAATTATGCGAGCCAAATATTGGTACGTTATGGTGACCAACAGTGACGTAATGCGGGGGGGGCGAGTTCCCCCCTCCCAGGCTTTGACGTTTCATTATATTATTAGAGAAAGAAGACGATTCGTTGTACTGTTCTCGAAAACAATTTTCGTCTGAATTTAGTTTTTCTCCTCCCGCGCGAAGCGCGGAAAATTTTACGACTTATTAAATTATTAGAGAAAGAAGACGATTCGTTGTACTGTTCTCGACTCTTAATCCTTGTCTAAATTCAGCCCCCCTCCCCCTCCTGCGCGAAGCGCGGAAGCTTTGACGTTTTATTAAACTATTAAAGAAAGAAGACGATTCGTTGTACTGTTCTCGAAAATAATTCTCGTCTGAATTTAGTTTTTCCCCTCCCGCGCGAAGCGCGGAAGCTTTTAAATTTCATTAAATTATTAGAGGAAGAAAACGATTTGTTGTACAGTTCTCGACTCTTAATCCTCGTCTGAATTCAGGTTCCCCCCTCCCGCGCGAAGCGCGGAAGCTTTTAAATTTCATTAAATTATTAGAGGAAGAAAACGATTAGTTGTACAGTCCTCGACTCTTAATCCTTGTCTAAATTCAGTTCCTCACCCTCCCCTCCTGCGCGAAGCGCGGAAGCTTTGACGTTTTATTAAACTATTAAAAAAAGAAGACGATTCGTTGTACCGTTCTCGACTCTTAATCCTCGTCTGAATTATGCCCCCCCCTCCCGCGCGAAGCGCGGAAGCTTTTACATTTCATTAAATTATTAGAGGAAGAAAACGATTCGTTGTAAAGTTCTCGACTCTTAATCCTTGTCTAAAATTAGTCCCCCCTCCTCCTCCTGCGCGAAACGCGGAAGCTTTGACGTTTTATTAAACTATTAAAGAAAGAAGACGATTCGTTGTACCGTTCTCGAAAATAATTCTCGTCTGAATTTAGTTTTTCCCCTCCCGCGCGAAGCGCGGAAAATTTTACGACTTATTAAATTATTAGAGAAAGAAGACGATTTGTTGTACAGTTCTCGACTCTTAATCCTCGTCTGAATTCAGGTTCCCCCCTCCCGCGCGAAGCGCGGAAGCTTTTACATTTCATTAAATTATTAGAGGAAGAAAACGATTAGTTGTACAGTCCTCGACTCTTAATCCTTGTCTAAATTCAGTTCCTCACCCTCCCCTCCTGCGCGAAGCGCGGAAGCTTTGACGTTTTATTAATCTATTAAAGAAAGAAGACGATTCGTTGTACCGTTCTCGACTCTTAATCCTCGTCTGAATTATGCCCCCCCCCCCCTCCCGCGCGAAGCGCGGAAGCTTTTACATTTCATTAAATTATTAGAGGAAGAAAACGATTCGTTGTAAAGTTCTCGACTCTTAATCCTTGTCTAAAATCAGTCCCCCCCCCCCCTCCCCCTCCTGCGCGAAGCGCGGAAGCTTCTACGTTTCATTAAATCATTAGAGAAAGAAGACGATTCGTTTTACAGTTCTCGACTCTTAATCCTCGTCTGAATTCAGGTTCCCCCCTCCCGCGCGAGGCGCGGAAGCTTTTAATCTTCATATAATCATTAGAGAAGAAGACGATTCGTTGTACAGTTTCCGACTCTTAATCCTTGTCTAAATTCAGTTCCTCCCCCTCCCCCTCCTGCACGAAGCGCGGAAGCTTCTACGTTTCATTAAATCATTAGAGAAAGAAGACGATTTGTTGTACAGTTCTCGACTCTTAATCCTCGTCTGAATTCAGGTTCCCCCCTCCCGCGCAAAGCGCGGAAGCTTTTAATCTTCATTTAATCATTAGAGAAGAAGACGATTCATTGTACCGTTCTCGAAAATAATCCTCATCGGAATTTAGTTACCCCTCCATCCCGCGCGAAGCGCATAAGCTTTTACGTTTCATTAAATAATTAAAGATTCGTATTACCGTTCTCGCCTCTGAATCTGAATCCTCGTCTCAATTCAGCCCCCCCCCCCCCTCCTCCCCTCCTGCGCGAGAAAGAAAACGATGCGTTGTACCGTTCTCTATACTGTAACGGACACGTTTTCGCCACCTTGGCTTGACACGGAATATTTGTCAGGATGCCCCGTGTCGGCCAGGCGCTCTCCGTCCGTTTGGACAAAATATATGCCCGTAGCTTAATGGCTGGAGTTATTAACTGCTCACACGGATCTCAACAATCATTCGTCCATCGACTACAATCGGTCACCTAAACGTCTCGTTCACAGCATCAATCAATTGAGCATCCTTCGAACAATCAATTTCCCTTGTCAACACTTGTCACAGGTTCTCGTCCCTTGGTTTCACTGCTCCAAGAAATCAAACCAATCATGATGTGTAGGTTGAAAATCTTTATTGCGATCCATTCAACAATCGGGTAAACTCAGTACAAGTACAGTGCAAATTATGTGAGACTTAGCTTAGAGGCTTAGGCCAGGCCAACTATCAGGCCAACTATCAGGCCAACTATCAGGCCAACTATCAAGCCAACTATCAGGCCAGCCTCGGTGAGGCTGGCCTGTATCGGATACAGTGCAGTGGAAAGCCCTAGATGCACAACCCTGACCATCGTAACAATTTCCCTATACATAAACGTGTAAAAGAACAATTATGTCCTCGTTAGTAAAACAACACTTCAACACAATATTTCTGCTAATCCCATAAAATCTTCACATATAATCTTCAGTATAACCCCTTATTCCTGATTAGATCACTACTATACAAGTAATATCCCCAAAAGAAACATGATAATTGCACCAACATGATCAAAATATGTAATTTATGCTCATTTTCCTTCAGTTTGGTAATTGCTAAATCAACGATGCACCATATTGCTATAGCGCATGCTCGTACAACAGAAAATGCTTAACCTTCGTCCAATACTAAAACCCTGATTTGTTACAATACTCTTAATCCTTGTCTGAATTTCAAAGAGGTGGGGTCGCTAAGCCCAGCGGTTTTAGGCGTTTAATTAAGGTCAGATGAGCATATTTTTGTGTATACCTTATTATTTTGTGACACTGGCAAGTCACTATTTGGCGTGGGGTCCAGGGGGCGGAGCCCAAAAAAATCAGGGGTTTTAGGCATTAAATTACCGTCAGATGATCATCTAAGAGGCCGCCGTAGGGCCCTAGAAGCTTAGGGGTTTTAGGCATTTAATCACGGTCAGATGAGCATATTTTGATGCCTCGAGGCTCTTGATCCCCGCCGTACCTCGGGCCCTGACATGTAGGAATCTCAAGAATCATATTTTTTGCCTGGTTGTAAATTTAGGAATTTTTTTTATTTTCCAACAAACACATACAAACGTATAATTTACTAAAAAGTGAGGAAAAATTTCGGAAATTATGTCATTTCAGCATTATTTGTAATACACCGTTGTGGAATCAGAAATAAACCACGTTTGAATTTGATTTCCCCCAAGCCCCCCCCCCCCCTCTATCAGTACGCCAGTATCTCCTCTTTTCCTTTTTTTTTCTTTCCCTTTCCTTCCTTCTCTCTTATTTTTTTTTGATTGGGGGGGGGGGGGTTAACAGCCTGGGAGGCAAGGCCCTTTCGCCCCCCCCCCCCGATTTCCTTCTTCCCCCTTTACTTTTCTTCTTCCTCTTCTTTCTTTCCCGTTTCCCTTTCTCCCTTCTTTTCCTTCTTCTCTTTTTTTTTTTTTTTTTGCGGGGGGGGGGGCCAAGGCCCGCTCGGCCCCCCCCCCCCCTGGATCCGCGCCTGTCTGATGGAATTCAGTCAGTCCATGGAAAAAGGGAAACACTGGTTTCGTGTTAGAAAAGATTGTGTTGATTTGTTTTTTTCCACATAATATAATTGCAAACCATACCTCATTTGACACTTTTCCATTTATAAAGTAGGTCTATATGCACCTCATTTCCCCCTTGTTCCATTCTCCACATTAATTCACTAAACTACTTGTTCTTTTTCCTTCTCTGTTCCATTATGTTCACACAAAAATTCAAACACACCATGCACACACATTAGCATACAACATGTACAGTATCAGTGGGGTAGCTACATGCAGGGAGACAAAAAATATTTTTTTAATTTAAAAAAAAGAGAAGAGAGGGAAGGTAGCATGAAATAAAAAAAAGATACATCCCTCTCCCATGTCCTACTCCTAATTAATGGACTTGTTAATTTGAAATTCATCCACACAATAGGACCAGTGGTCATCCCCATATTGCCCTTGCACACTCAATGTCTAGTTTTCACCCACACAACTCCACTGGTATACAATTATGTTTCTCCCCCTTTCCTTCTCAGTCATAAATGAAGCCATTCAAGATATACAAAGTCAAGGTTTCCAATTGAAAATGGAATTTTATGCATCTTTATTTGCAAGAATCACCAGCATGCAAACCAAAAAAGGACAACAATGTAATCTTCCTGAACATCTCTTTAACTGTATTAGACTTCATATTTAGTTACATTTTGATTGATGAATCAATTTTCCTCTCATTATAAACATGCTAGATTAAAAAGAATTTGTAAAGCCGTTATTTTTTCCATAAGAAATCATCTGCACATACCATAGAATAAAACCATGTTTAAAAAAAATGAAAGATCATATTAACATGGTTCAACTCTTGTTATTTTCATTAAGTAAATATATGTTAAGAACAAGGGGTAGAGGTTTAACTAGCAAACTGCAAATACATAGAATATATATATAAAAAAGAATCATCTGAAGGGACACTAATTAAAATTATGCTTCTAAAAATGACAATAAAGAAACACATTTTCCCTGTAATTTATCCTTTCTCAGCACATGCTACGTAAAATGCTATCATTGGACAAAAGTTTATTTGGTAAACTTGTATAACTTTTCAGGCTATTCAATAATACAATCTAAACAAAGATAACGTTAACCACACACACCTTTGCCATGAAAATATATCTTTTTCTTTGTAAGTCATTGATGTGCACTTCAATCTTTGTTCTCATTTTGTATACCATGTATCAGTGAGAGTGACAGTTTGCATTTCTATGACAATCTATACAATTCTTTTCATATTTGTTGTGTATTATCTTTTGTATGGAATATATGCTGAGAAAGGATACATAATGATACCGTATTTTCAAATATCTCTTATCTTTATAATAAGTCCAATTTTTTTGTGTTTTAGGCATAGTATACCGGTGGGCCAATTTCAAGTAAAAAATACCACAAGTGCTCTCTTTTAGTATGCATATTAAGTGAATATAAGTTAAAATGAAGAGTAAAACTACTAACATATGAATTTCAAACTAGGTCATGTTTAAATTTACATACTGCAATATTTACATATCTATATTTATCTGCTTATTCTTCTTAAACAAATGAATACTGTATCCTCACACATACTATTTACATTGCACTTATAAAAATAAACAAAGAAGCACAAATCATAAAATATGCATATAATTTCAAGTTGTGATTCTCTTCCCCTGCCCTCATTGGAAATTGGTACAATAAATGTGTCAAAATGGGGGAGGGGGGGGGGGAATAGACCTAAATAGATCCATTTTATATAATGTAAAAAAAGTGTTCTAATTAAATCACTTCTTTGTTTCTGATGTAAATTTACCAATTAATATTATTCACATATGAGAGAGAAAATATTGAATAAATCTGAAATCTCAATTTATGAAACGACCACTTCTTGTACAACAATATCAACTAGTAACACTTAAGTCAGCAGTAAACATTTAGCCAATGTTTTTATACGTTCTTTATAACATAATTTTCTGAACACTTAGGATACTAAGATATTTCAGAAGATAAATTAAAAACTTGAGAACTATTATGTGCAAGCCCACTGGGTTCTTTATCAATGCTAAGATGCAAATCTTTCTGTACAACTTAACAGACAAAAAAAAAACATGTGAAATTGACATCACACAGCTATCCTACGAGTTGTATCAATGAAAATCTGCGTACATGTAAATACAGTATGTGTATGTCCCTTCAATCAATAAAATAAATCATTATCATGACATTATACATTGATACAAACACATTAAAAAGATTCCATAAGTAAATATAGAAAATATGTTGTTCACTACATCATACGATTTGAATGAAAAAATGTCCCAACAATCTATTTAATCTTTCTTTTGGTTAAAATTTTAACTGGAACATATGCATTTCCAAATGAAACCAATACTGTCAGAACCAATAGATACACATTTATCAAGATATAAAAATCTTCTAATCTGTATGAAAAACAATAGGTGTGGCGAGGCCTAACAACCTCATAACCATAAAACAGAAACTTTTTTTTACAGTGTTTAAGATTAATTTCATAAATCACTTCAAGAGAGGATCAAAGTACATATACTCATCTTTCATTCTCTCATCCATTGCATTACGTCTTTCATGTACACATATCAACAGCCTCATATGCTCAAGCAACCTACTTTACATTTAATATTGAGCACTCCCTAACCTCCCTGCTTAATACTACAAAGTGAGAAAATAAATGAAGCGTAACCAGAATCCAGATAGCTTTCCCACACATGACATACAACTGTTCACTTTTGGGAGCTTTCTATATGATCTTGGTTTTGAGGAGTAGGAGTAGATAAATTCTCCTCTGAGATGGCCTCGTTCACGTGTCCTCCATCTGTAGACTGTAGCGTTGCTGATGATGGTGGGCGAGAATCCGTCTCTTGTCTCACTTTCTGCATGTCAAAGAAGAAAACAGCAGGAAAAAGTAAACATCAAGTAATAACAATAAACACAACTCAAGAATATTTAAGAATATTTAGTCCATAAGATGTTGAACTGAAGCACGAAACCAAGACAGAAAACAAGGATAGGACAAAGGTATTGTACACATTATGTCCATCGATGAGTAAATAAGCCATGATGATGATTAACACACAAACAACACTAAGAAAAACAGAGTAAAACCATTTTTCTTTTAAAGGACTTGAGAACAAACTTAATTACACAAAACATGGTAACAGTCCAATAACGTACTATATTTTTCAGGAACAGACATGAAGAGAATTTTAAAGATAATGAACACAACAACAGAAAAAACCTTGCACCAATAAAGAAAATAGAACTAAATGACAGCCAAAATGTACAATTAAGAAGATGATACAGAACCCACAGTGCTAAATATTAAGTAAATGGATCATACATGAAGCCACTTCATGGCACAAATAGGTAATGTCAAAGAATAAGTTGAAATGCTACCAAGCCTGGTATCAAGAAAGGGTGAAAACCAGAGGAGAAGGCAGTAAGCTAACATGGTTGAAAGGAATACCGTCCAAAACATTACTAAATGTTCCTGGATCATAAATGAAAATAATCTCAGACACAAACAAGATGATCTAAAAGACACACAATGAAAGAAAACCAGGTATCAAGAAAGAAAAGTAGAACCACAAGGACAGCCCAAAAGTACACTAAACATTTTATCTTGGCTGATTTTCTACAAGAAGTACAAAGACAACAATTCTTGATGCTTAAATGAAGTATCCACAATGTGGGTTAATATCACTATCCATAATTGGTTATAAAATTCCATACAGACAGAGATATTCCAAGAACTGAATCTACAATAGACAGCATGTAGCCAGAAATCTAGTTAAGAAATGTAATAGCTACATGCACATGCACAGGAATAGAACACCATCCTCACTATATCAGGTCTGGTATACAATGACAAAAGATGGGCTACACATGAAACACACAAAATGTCAAAAGAACCCAATTCCTTGCAACTTTCCTAGTCATTTTTCTCCTTCCCGACCATCCCCATCATTCACAATATGTGATGGTTATTCACCGGACCACCGTTCCAGAGCTCAGAGAGCTCCTTACGGCACACCGCTACGGCTAGGGTAGACAGCACCGTGCAGGGTACCAGGTACAGAAGAGCAGGCTGACCGGTCTGCATTAGGATGAGGGCTACGAAAGTGATGACCAGTCCTACACCATATGCTGTGAAAGATCAGAGATAGAGAGAGAGTATAAATTCTGGCTAGTAGGTTTGCTTACTATTTGGTGCATTCCATATTGACTCATGCAGTAAACTAATCAAAACAATCAAATCAACTGTCGAGAGCTAGAGGGCACAAACTCTTAATTTTGCTCAAATTAAGCCCTCCTTCCTGTCTAACTCTCAGCAGACAATAATGAAATAAAGGTATAGACTTGAACATTGAAATCAAGTAGATTCAACCTTAGAAGTGCTGCGAATTTGTTTACCTACATGTTCAAAGATATACAATGATCTTGTGAATAAGGCATTTGCATATACTCCTGAAAGTTAAAATGATTCTAGGGCAAAATAAAACAATGATCACCAGGTCCCACCACCATGTTGCATGTAGAAATTGGATTGCCTGATCATCTGTTCATCATAACTGACAATATAAAATGAACAGATATATTCATTCGTGGAATACAAGTGAATTGCACTTTCAAACCAAACTAAATAACACATATAATATACCATAAAGTACTCACCAAGAACTGATGTGATGTAATAGATCCTAGGGGATTTGACCTTGAGATCAAAGGTGTGGCAGAAACCAACAAGCAAGCCTGTCCAATCAAATAAAAAGATGACAATAATGATTGTGTTGACATGAATGATTTATCAGGCAATGTGCAGTAAATCAAAATCTTTACTAATTAAATGTAATGTTTTTGATAATTAAACAATTAAATTGCTATTTCAAGTTCATCACCTATAAAGATATATTACCTTCATATTATATTAATTTAACCATGAGTTGAATTTGTTTAAATCTAATGAAAATGCAGTAAATTGCAGCCAAATTTAAGAGCAGTTCTGAAGAGAAAGAATAGGCTTCTTACCTGGTACAAGAATGTCTCCAAATCCTAGCATGGAGTAAACATTGCACACAGAGAATGCTGAGTGGCAGAGACGCGGCACAGTCAGCAGGACAGGAATCTAGAGTAGAAGAACATAGAGTACTGCGATTATATCAGTCCTATGTTTCTCTCCTCTTCCATGCTTCAAGTAATTTCTTTTGTGTAAGATTAGGAGACGCAATATAAATTAAGTAATATCAACAAACAACCAAAAGAGACAAAAGGATGATAGACAGAGAAAGAAATTTAAAGACGGTAAAGGTCAGAGAGAAAGAAAGAGAAATAGAACAAAAGAGAGATAATGACACAATGGGAGGAGAGTATACAGACATACATTCAACAAACAGATAGACATATATGCAGTGACTTACTGACAAGGAAATAGCTAGAGAGAGAAAAGACAGATTTTATACAATAGACAGTAAAAATATTAATTAAACAAAATTACCTGTTCTGAAGCTGACTCGCCACCAGTGGCTACTTTAACCATCACACTCTCTCCAGTCTGAAAAGTCAAGGAAGAGTGGATATTCTCATTAAATAAGTTAATAAATAAATAATTGCAGAATATATCTTTTCTTTCCACAATATCAAGTCATAAAATCAACATCATCTTGCAAAGTTCCAGATGAAGATTACAATATTATATCATGAAAAATTACAAGTAGTTACATGATATATAACCTTGATGTCAGGGTGAGCCTTAAAACTGACTAGAGCGAGGTATTTGTGTTGTGCTGTTTTGTGTTGTGTTGTCCTGTGTTGTACCATGTTCACAGTGTTCTGTATACATCCATTTACTATATCGATATGATATGATTTTAAATATGTTATGACGTTGAGTTTTCTTCCAGACAATAGTATTCAAATTCAGTGAATGACCTCCCACTAACAAACCTGAACTGAGAATTGTTACTAGTACTACTCACCTTTGTAAAATGAGGAGTGATGAAAACAAAGAAGACATCGTAGACAAACAGGAGTGATAGAAGGAGAACACATGTCTGTGTGAAGAAGACAAAATGCATGATATAAGCAATCAGGATTCAACAGTATGTCTTTTGCTACAATAGCTAGTACATGTTTGAAAATAAGCATCTTATATGCCTACCACCTTCAGTTGTGTGGCGGCAATAAACCATTTATTCCAACAATAAATTTTATCTGAGCCCAGATTTTATTTTGGTCACGTCTTTGGGTGTGTATAAGTGTTCAAAATCCTATACTGGTGACTACCTCAATGATACTTGACCAATTACCAGACACTAGCTCTAGAATTTATTTTGTCAAAGATATGGGGTTAGGAAAAGGGTTGCAATAGTGTTTTAGGTCTAGTTCGTAGTTAGGATTAGGTAAAGTGGCGAGTGATCCAGGATTTGGTTAAAGTAGGACCATTTTAACCAGGGGGTAGTTTTCCCATGACAAGTCTCTAGAACATTAATGACCCTAATTGCTGAGCCCTCCCCCAAAACTCACTGTAAAATAACACAAAGGATCCCTGGAGAACTCACTTTGAAGTTTGGCAGACGAACCACCTTGAGTACACTGATACAGAAGCATATGCCTAAGAGATCCAGTAAGATCCAGGCAAATGACTCCTTACGATAGAAGAACCATGTAAGGACGAACGCTCCACAGCCAAGCCATAGTATGGCGCTTATGACAGTAGGACGCTTCTGGAACACAGGAATAAGGGGCAGTCTGTAGAGAAATCAAGATTTCAGTACATCATTGTTTAAATAGGAATATATTAAGCATTATAGCTGCATGCCTTGTTTATTTTCATATTTGCTGTGTCCTTATTTACATTCTCCACTAAGCTGGAAAATGAATATGGGAAATTAATCATATGCAATTTCTTTAAAATGGTACATCCTTTGCGGCAGAATATACTATATAACAACTAAAGAATGCATCTCCAAATCCATTGACAGGGGAAAGTGAATACATCAGAAAGATAAACTTACCTTTCTTTACAAGGGAAAGCAAATGTTACAGCAGGTAGCAATGTAGTATGCATGCCTGACCAAGCTCCCATGCAGTATAGGGCAATCACAACATAAACTGGAATAAAGATGTGAGAAAAGAATGAAAAAAAATGGAATATGATATGGTGAACAATTCATGCAAATTCTTCTATCATTTCATCATAATCTGATTTTTATTTCTTTTCAACACAGATTACTCAAACAATGGTATTGCAGAATACCTAACCAAAAAAGTAAACTTAACCAAAACCTAACCTTGACCCTAAATACAATGTACTGGTGCATGGTATTGTACTCTGCAATTAAGCCCACAAGGAATTTAGAAAAAAGATGAATAAACAACACAGTGTATAGACACCCATTTCACAATAATTTTGTTGAGGTTTCCACAGACCTGGAAAAGAATACATGTAGCTGACTTACCGACTGGGCTGTAGAAGAAAAATAGAAGAAGTAGCATAACCATGACCATGAGGACCCAACAGATAACGATAGGAGGGGTGATAGTCACAGATTCAGCCTCCTCACTCTCCTCCTCATCTGATTCACTGGAGTCCCCGCTGTTCACATTCTGGTAGTGACCCTGGCCATCCCGTCTCTCATGTCTCTTTTCTCGCTTGTGTCTGTGGGTTGTAATAACAGTCAAGAGACAAACACAAAAAGTTAAGATTTGATAATATTGTTAATAACAACTTCATTTACTGGGTGTAAGCCACAAATATGTTTAAACTATTGAAATTTCTCCCAGAAAGCATTACATTTATATTGTACTTCATTTTAATTGTACTTATATCCCTCCAAGGGGATGCTCAAGGCACCGACAAAGAACTATCATGATCCTTGCACTGAAAGCAATCAGGAAATAACTTCCAACCATGTACCAATTTATCAGTGTATACAGACCTGCCAACCTCTGGAGTTCAAAAACTGTATTCTTTAGTGTCAAAAGTTGTATTTTACTGACAAAAGTTGTATTCTTGAAAATAAACACAGATTGTTACGCGGATCAATGCCTCTTACAGTTTCTACCTACAGGAAGAATTTTTTTTATTGATCATTGGTTGAATATGCATTATTTCGTCACGACTGGTGTGTTTGATGAACCAATAAACATCCCCAAATTGCCGATGTGAGGTGCTTGTAGGATACTTTACAGGACAGAATGGACATTTTGCTATTGAAAATGGTGGACGCACACACAAAATATTAATTAAAAATATAAAAAATAAAAAATAAATAAATAAAATCATTTTTTTTTTTTGTTGTTGTTGAAAATCGTATTTTATCAAGGAAAATCGTACTGTCGTATTTGCTTCTAAAAATCGTACTAAATACGACTAAATCGTACTGGTTGGCAGGTCTGTGCGTAGTGTGGCAAATGAAGATTCATTACTTGCCAAAGGGCATTACTACCGCAGCTGGGACTCAACTCAAAACCCATGTGATCTACAGTAGATTTTTACAACACGTGCTTCAGTGACAATTTCTCCATAAATAGTTAATTTCTAACACTAACTACAACCCTGGACATAACACTATACCTAATCCTATTAAACCTAACCTTACATGAAACCCAATTGCAATCCTCACTCCAACCCCAACATAACTCTTCATCCTTCACAAACTAAAGCCAAGAGCAAACGTCACTGGAGCATGTGTCAGATCACTGAATAGAATGAAACAGATAAAAAAGCCGTCGGTGTGGACCACCACCACATTGAAAAATATCAAACTAGGCTGCATAATAACATTGACATAACCCAAAACTCTCAACAATGACAGGAAGCTTACTGCTTGTAACCCATGAGTCCTGCCCAGAAACCTCCAATGGCCACGGTACCAGTAGCCATTAGCCAGATCACTATCATGTTGTAGTCCCATTCCGGTGGTTCGGGGCTGTAAAAGGCCACCTCAGGACTTGGACCTTGATTCTGCAGGGGGAGAATAGGGAGAACAAACTACTACTACATACAATAAGACATGAACCAGAGACATATTAAATGTTTATTCATAAGTGTTTAATATCTTAATATCCCTGTTCAGACGTTACCACATATATCCCAAAAGAATAAAATAAAAAAGCAAAATAAAATTATGTAAGCATGGTGCGCTTTATGTATCTTATACATGCAGATGAGCATTTATACCTATGTGTAGAGGCCTTAATTGCATGCAGCTATTTTTGTTACCTTAACTTAACTATTCATATTGCCACAGTGTTTTTTTTTCCAATGGCAGTTTAGTGTGTTAAATGTGATGAGGCTTTCTTATAATTCACACCAGCATTCATTCATACATGTAGATATTCATTCAAAAATACAGGTAGCAATGTTTTTTATTGGAAAATTGCAAACAGCATGTAAACTACATTGAAGTGTAATCAATCTACTGAAGCAAGCATGGAAAACTCAAATGGATACAGATAATATCAAGCAATGACTCTCAATATTAACAACATTGCATTATCCTATGGAGTTAGAATGAGTGTATCTCTGTCATGAATTATAAGAATAGAACAAAATAAATATTAGTTTATTTAGGAAGGAGATTAATTTATAACTTCTAAACACATCATAATCCATAAATAATGCTTAATCAAAATATACATCTACTCACGGTTAGGTCTTGGAAGTCTTTGTCTTCTAGGAGAACAATAGGTATATCAATCTTGACAGATTCATTGAAGGATGGAGCAGTCTAATAGGGAAAGAATGAGAGTAAAAGTTAATCTTACTCTACTTCTTAAACATCCATGAATGCGGATTACATTGTTACTGATGTACCGGTAAACATAATACCAAACTGATAAGATACAGAGGTGTCTGGCTTTACTGCTACATAACTTCATCATTTTATTAATTACTATTTACGTCATTATACAAGTGTGAAAATCTAGAATACACCACTACTGGAAAATTCAAAAAATAGAGCACATCATGAAAGCAATATTTATCCAAGCAGAGCCATTTGTTAAGAGAGATTGGGCAACCTAGTTCGGGTTTGGCACAGTATGGTGAATAGTGAATACTGCCTAGTTGGGCAAGCACAAAGCAAAAGAATCTATGCCATGTTGCGACCAAGTGAAACCGAGTTGGTCAAACTCTGGGTATAGAAGTCTCTGTTTCCAAGGTTCCATAAAGCAAAAGAATATATGCCATGTTGTGATCAAGTGAAACCGAGTTGACAAAACTCTGTGTATAGAAGTCTCTGTTTCCAAGGTTCCATACTGTACACATTTCTAGAAACAAGTATGATAGAGACTCACCACTCCTGTCTCACTAATGACTAGAACACCCTCTGCCTTAGCCTGCTGTGCATGTACACCCTTCTCTGTGAAGGTACAATTGCCTCTCATTACAGCTGCGACACGACCTTCCAAGGAAGAGACCTTGGAGTCGCCACATAGGACAGATGGTGTCAGGTCAGCCAGGGGCTTGTATGCCTGTAGACAGGAAAAATAATAATATCAGTCACACATGCATTTATATTACAAAGCTAATTAAAACTAGATGGAACTTCGACTGCGCGCAGTCGAAAGTGATGCCTCCGTCATAGAGCAATTTTACAAACCAAAACGGAAGAATTATTACAAATTCAAGTTCGGTTGTAATCCATAACAGGTTCTCAGAATATCGTGATTATACAAGCTATTTCTCATATACATGTATGACCCTTTGATCTTTTAACTCATGACCTCAAATGCAAAATACATATATGCATGTCTTGAGTTTGATGGTAATCCATCCATCGGTTCTTGAGATAACGCGATCACAAGCTATTTTTGCATACATAATGAGCCCTGTGACCTTTGACCTTGTGACCCCAAAATCTAATCAGTTCATAGGCTTGGCAAGTTACATACATGACCAAAGTTTGGTAGGAATCCATCAGTCGGTTCTTGAGATAACGTGATCACAAGCTATTTTTGCACACATAATGAGCCCTGTGACCTTTGACCTTTGACCTCGTGACCCCAAAATCTAATCAGTTCATTGGCTCTGCAAGTTACATACATGACCAAAGTTTGGTAGGAATCCATCAGTCGGTTCTTGAGATAACGCGATCACGAGAACGGGACGTACATACATACGTACGTACAGACGTACGGACGGACGGACAACCCAAAAACATAATGCCTCCGGCTACTTCGTAACGGAGGCATAAAAATGCATGTGTACTTAATTGTATCAATACATCTACTTAAGAGAGCTACTATGATAAGAAACTCAATCAATGAACTACCCAAAGATCAATGATATCGTACATGTACTATCTGAGGGGATTACCCACTTTCAGTTCTGTAATGATTCTGTATAATAGAGACATAGTCTTACCCTCCTGTCTCACTAATGACTAGAATACCCCCTGCCTTAGCCATATCTAGTATTAGAAACCATATAAAATGGTATGTGCAGTTAACTATTCTATTTTGTGTGGAAATTAGCAGAGTGTACATAATAAGTACATGCTCATGGGCTAACTTCATACTGATACATGGTTAAATGTCTGCCACCACATATGACTCATACTGCAACTCTAAGTCTGCTTTCCACGCTGACACAATACCTGATATAGTGACAATACAATTTTAGTAATAATGCAATGCAAACAATATTACTTTCAAAGTACTTACTGACTGGTCAAGCTTCGTTGGTAGTTTGTATTGTTTGGAGTCATACATGATGCAGTATTCTCTACTACTTTCTTCACCACCATATTGCACCGAAACAATGCCATAGAATGCTTGAATCTGAATTAAAAAACGAGGAAAAAAAAGTCATTTACAATACTTAACCTTTTAAGGATCCTGAAAAAATCGTAAGAAATAGAGGGTTAGACTGAAATATCATAACTTTGGTATCAAATCAAACAGAAAATCGCAAGCTTGCTCCTCGCACCAATATCTTATAACCTTGAGTGAATGGAAGCCAGCGATAGCCGATTAGAACGGTCCTTGTCAGCGCCAATTTAGTAAAATGAGGCTGCGATTTGAGAGATCGGATGAACATTCTGCACATGCCACATGCGCTAAATGTAAGCTAAAGTTCTAAGCGCTGGGTGAAGGGCAAATTATATTGCTCCTTCTTCCAAGTTCCAGTGTTTGTCAAGTCTGGCTTTAAAGCTATTCAACGAGGTTGCAGATACTACTGAGTCAGTAAGGGAGTTTCAGTCGTTGAGGACACTGTGGCTGAACAAGTCTTGCCCAAGTTTCTTCCTCCTCCTCCTCCTCTGGCTCTAGACCCTAGATCTACGAGACCTAGATCTAGACTGTAGAGTAAAGGAGGGGGTAATCGGCCTTTGGCAGTTTTCGGCCGGTCCGTTGGATGCATGGTAAAATCCCTTTAAAATACATTGTATAATAGCATATCACATATCCCACACATACCATACCATGCCAGAGTCACTGAAGAACCACTTTTGCAATAGAAAATATATCCTTAAAATCACATTAATCGGCGGTCCCGCTACCCGAATCTGAAAAATAGAGTATCTTACGCGTGTCTGTAAGGAATATGGGTACTATAAAATGAGCTTTATTTCAAGTATTTTTCAGATTTAGAGCCCGATGTTCAAAATCTTGTGGGATATTTGTATTGCTATTATGCGATGTATTTTAAAGGGATTTAAACATGCATCCAACGGATCGGCCAAAAACTGGAGATGATCGATTACCCCCTCCTTTACTCTAGACTCTAGAGCAGGCCTTCTCAACTAGTTTATTAGAAGTGCCAAAACGAAAAGAATTTGCAGTTGAAGTGCCACCCTGTATGTTTGACTGAAAACGGAAGGGGTCGAGGGGCGAAGCCCCAACGGGGGGTAGCAGGGGGCGGAGACCTCTGAAGCTGGTGGATTGTAGGGCTTTCTAAAGGCCCAAATGGGGCATTTTTAACACTATTTTATTCCACAATATAATCAAGCCTAATTTCATATTGATGTGAAAAAACTAGTACAATTCTTGGGTACAATTACACTGGAGGTAAAATTATATGTAGTTTTTTGGCTGCAATAAACACAGGAAATGTCAAAATAAAGTGAAAATCAAACAAACAAAAACAAGATGTTTCCAGAGATTGGTAATGTTAAAATTAGTAGCCCATAGTAAGCTAACTGTTGTTCAGAGATTAGGTTTAGTTGAGTCTCTGAAATTAGGTTTAGAGTCATATTAAATGGTAAAAAACGATGAGTACCCCCTTTCTTCCTGTTTATCAAGCAAGCATTTTGGGCTCAAATTCGACTGCAACTTCTTGATTTAGCTAAGTATTTAATTCTAAAATGTATATTTTCTTTCTTTCTTTCTATTTTTTGTTTTGTTGTTGCAACAGTCGCGCGCCACTCCGACTGACCGCAAACCCCGGCCCCCCCACTCAGTGTTATTAAGGGTACGCATATGCTCGTACCCTCTTTTTGAAAGCACCCCCTATCTGGGGACTGCCAACATTTCCGAACCCCCCTTTCGCGGGCTTTTCGCAGGCTTTTCGCGGGCTTTTCGCGGGCTTTTCCTGCCTTGGAGACCCCCCTAAATCAGGAAAAATGCTCAATGTACCCCCCTAAATTCGGAATAATTTCTCAGGAGTCCAAAGAGATGAGAGAGAAAAAGAAAAACACCCCCTTTTTAAAGAAATCTCCGGGTGAAAAGTCAAATACACCCCTTTTTTCACAAATCTCGGGCCGGACTTTGTCGCACGAAAAGTACCCCTTTACCGGACATTTTGGCAACACGCATGCGGTCATTCCGACCTCTGAGTGGGGGGGCCGGGCCGCAAACGCCACAAGTGGTGCACGCGCCACCAGTTGAGAAGGCCTGCTCTAGAGTAAAGGAGGGGGTTTTCGACCACTTAAGACAAAATCCTTTTTTTGGGACTCTTTACTTCCTATTTATTATCATTTCTTGTTTAAATCATGAAGCAAATATTACTATTATTTAAACAACAAAAAAGCGGTGTCTGGCTGCATTGATTCAATACATGTGATGAGATACTTTTGAGCTTGCGACTAGCACAAAAATCGGGGTCTAAATCTGAAAAATACTTAAAATAAAGCTCATTTTATGGTACCCATATTTCTTACAGACACCAGTAAGATACTTGATTTTTCAGATACTGGTAGCGGGACCGCCAATTACATCGCTAAAATGTGATATTTTAGAATATATTTTCCATTGCAAATGTGGTTCTTCAGTGACTCTGGCATGGTATGGTATGTGTGGGATTAGACCGAAAGCTTCAGTCTCTATAATCGTCGGTTGTTCCACTGAGACTACGTCTGGCTCCACTAGACCTCCGGTTATAGAGACAGAACGATCGCCTATGCCAGCCTATGTTGAACTTATTCCGCTAGATTTTAGCCGCTAGGCCCCTCCCACAAACTTGCCACGGCCGTATTGTTATGCCCCCAAAATCCCCCAAAATGTCATTTTACCTCGTTCATTTCCAATTTTAAATTAGGCCTAGGCTATAATACATCGATTCCACTTACTAACTTCATTGATATAATCCGTTTAATGGTCCCTTTTAAAGAAATTATCGGTCAAAATCGACATCCATGTTGAAAATCTTGCAAGCCGTGTTAAACTCTCGCTGCCGTCAATCTCATCCTTTCTAGTCTACGCCGAAGGCAAAATGATTATGAAGGAAAAACTGTGATAACGCCATTACGAACGTGTAGATGGCGCACAGTTTTTCCTTCATAATAATTTTGCCTTCGGCGTAGACTAGAAGGGATGAGATTGACGGCAGCGAGAGTTAAACACGGCTTGCAAGATTTTCAACATGGATGTCGATTTTGACCGATAATTTCCTTAAAAGGGACCATTAAACGGATTATATCAATGAAGTTAGTAAGTGGAACCGATGTATTATAGCCTAGGCCTAATTTAAAATTGGAAATGAACGAGGTAAAATGACATTTTGGGGGATTTTGGGGGCATAACAATACGGCCGTGGCAAGTTTGTGGGAGGGGCCTAGCGGCTAAAATCTAGCGGAATAAGTTCAACACAGGCTGGCATAGGCAGTCGTTCAGTCTCTATAACCGGAGGTCTAGTGGAGCCAGACGTAGTCTCAGTGGAACAACCGACGATTATAGAGACTGAAGCTTTCGGTCTAGTGTGGGATATGTAATATGCTGTTAATGTGTTATGCCATGTATTTTAAAGGGAATTTACCATGCATCCAACGGATCGGCCGAAAACTGGTGATGGTCGATTACCCCCTCCTTTACTCTAGTAGGTCTAGTCTATGTGTGGTCTAGAGAGTCTAGAAAATAGACCCATTTTGTATTTTCTTCTTTTTCCAATTTTTCTTGGATTCTTCTCTTTCCAATCAAAGTACAATTCTCTGTGTAGATTAACCCACACACTTACAGCTACATTAAATATTATCTTACATGTCCGACACCATATCTACATCCTGACTTATGGATCCTGCGGCCTGCTGAGTATCGTCGTAGAAGTAGAAGTAGAAGTATCGCTTCTTCCACCACAAGGACAGACACAAATGTGAGCATATGGGACTTGATTGCATAGCACTGCAGTATTACAACACATAAACACAGAAGTTCAATTGCTCACTCTGCACAGTCACTCAAACAAGTCACCGTCACGGGATCAATTACTTCGTAAACACATTGATATTCACAAATTTATATTCTTAAGTAGTAAATCCCATAATTCGTATAAACATAAACATCATACCGTCTGCAAAACAGCCAAAAGAAGAAAAAATACCGGTCGCAAGAACGCCATTTCAATTTTACTCAGCTCAGCTCAGTTGTCAAACCCTAAACAAGCGACGTTTACACTGCTGATATCTGACACGTATGTACACGTACACTGCAGCTGCACGAAAGGCATGCAGATCAGTGTGAACAGCATATGCTTGGGGGAGATCGTGGTTGTTGTTATCATGACAAGTTTCCAATGAAAAACATTACAAAAGGATGTTACCTTGTTTGTATGTTGTTTTTTTTTATAGTTTTTTTAAAATTTATTTATTTGGAGAGAGCAAGAGAGAAGGAAAGGAAGGGAAAGGGAAGGAGAAGAGAAAGGGAAAGAAAGAAGAGGAATAAGAAAACAAAAGGGGGAAAAGGAGATCGAGGGGCGCAAAAGGGCCTTGCCTCCCAGGCTGTTGCCTTCCTCCTTCTCCCCCCCCCCCCCCATCAAAAAATAAGAGAGAATGAAATATAGGGAAAGAAAAAAGAAAATAAGAGGAAGAAGAACAAAGAAAAGGGGGAGGGGGGTATCAGTTGCAATTTTCTCGCACTTTTTTTTTTTTGGCCCTTGAAAATTTGAAAATTTGCACCCCCTCCCATTGAGCGCCAGGGGTGGGGGCCCATCCCCCCAAAAAAGCTTTTACACGGTTTTTTTTTCCCAGGGGGGCCGGGCCCCCCACGCCCCCCCCCCCTGGATCCGCCACTGGCCGGTGGGGGATGCACTGGCAAACGGATGGGGGTGGGTGCCCCCGCCCAAATAAAATTCAAATGTGGTTTGTTTCTAATTCGATACCGGTGATTTACAAATGTTGCTGAAATGACATAATGTTCTGAGATATTTCCTCATTTTTTAATATATACTTTTTTATGCGCTTCTTGGAAAATGAAAAATTCCTAAAATTACCGTCAGGCGAAAATATGCTTATTGAGAGGCTTACATGCCAGGGCCTGCGGAACGGCGGGGCTCGGGGGCCGGCTCAAGCTTCCCCTCCCACTTGTTTTGAAAAAGTATATTAAGGAGAAATAGAAGGAAAGAGGGAAAGAATCCGCGCCTGCCATAAGAAAAACTTAATTAGACCATATGTTACACAGCAAACTGCACAAATATTGTACAAATCAGTAATTCAATGTAAGTTTGATTACTGTATAGTGCAATTTGGGGGAATGCCGGAGAAGGAACTTTAGAAAGGCTAGGTGGGGGAATGCTTTCAATAGACTTAAATTTGAAAGGCCCTTTGTATCATCTCGTGCAAGAATTTACGCTTCTATTAAATTCATAGGAGAAGTAAAACCCTGTTCACCATTGTTTTCATGGTGCAAAGTTGTTTACAGACTGAAAAAGGCTAAAACGGGACAGTAGGGTGTGAATAAAACTAGGAAATTGTAATTGAAAATGTAAAAAAAACGTTGTAAACCTGGCAATAAGAGGCTCTTGAATCCAGTTTTAAAAATGGACATGGCTTTGTGGCTAAAGCTGACGAGAGCCAGCTACCCCCCCCCCCCCCAGTGGCGGGTCCAGGGGGGCGGGGGTCCCGGCCCCCCTGGGGAAAAAAACGTTTAAAAACACGCCTAATTTTATCTTTTTTTGGTGGCCCCTCCTCCCTGGCTTTTCAAATTTTCGAGGGCCCCCAAAAAACTTAGTGCTCACAACCCCCCCCCCCTCCCCCACCCCCACTGAGTGAAATATGCCGGCACGATTTTCAAATTTCAGCAGACTAAATTTCAAATTGATTTCAAATTTGGCCCCCCCCCCCCCTAAGAAATCCTGGATCCGCGCCTGGAAGAGGAGACAGAAAAGAGCGTGAATGATGCAGAGACAATGAGCATGACATGTGTTTATAAAGAAAAAGGGCAGAACGCGACGGGAGAAAAAAAAACTAGACGAAAGATTGGGGACAAGGGAAACACAACTAAAAAAACAATAGGCGCGAAAACTTAATTTCTTTTATAAGATTGTAAAATTAACCATTTTATTTTTCTCAGATGGGGTAATGAGCCTATATAGGCCTATAATTACGGAGAGACTTCCAAAATTTGGGAATTATCCTGGGGTGGTCGTCCTTGGGGGGTAATTTTCTGGGGGTCTTTTGTCAACGGGGTAATTGATAATTGTCCTATATGACGCGATCATTCAGTGCATGCCCCCAGCCTACCCCTTAACAAAATTCAGCTGCGGAAAAGGGGGCCTGAGGGAGGTTGAGTTTAATGACTCATTTTTGGGCACTTGGAAATGTTGAATGAAATGAGCTTATGTAATGCCAATTGTTTCAAATGAAAATGTTTGCAGAATAATAGGTAATTTAGTTATTGACTGACACATTTCAATTCTGCTAACATAATGGACTCTTATTTCTTTATTTTTTTTTATTTTCGAAGGTATATTATAGTAATAGGTGCATATTACCGACACAATTAAGTACGGGTCGCGATTCGTATAAAGACTCGTATTTTTGTCAAGCTAGCTTACCATACTATATCCGGAGCTATCATGGCTATTGAACTTTAAAGCACTTGCACCTTGACATACGCTGAAAATTCTATTAAAATGGGCAAGAAAAAGAAGATTTCAAGTAGGCCAGTTTCAACAGAGAGTACACCAGCAAAGGGAAATATAGGAGACACTAACAAAGGTATCTGATTAGAAAGAAAAAGTTGTATAATAGAATTGAATTTAGGCATGAGACTTGCATAGCTAGGCTAAAAAAAGTAGACCACCGGTACCGGTACGGCTCCCAAGTTGCCGCGACACGTTTTCAATCCCTAAGTTTCGGGGATAAATCGGTCGTTGCGCCCGCTAAGCTAAGTTAAGTCCGAGAGGCTAGAGGTATACCGGGCCGTGTGAGTAAAAAAAAAGCTTACACCTAGAAAATTGCTAATTATTTAAAAAATCATCTATGAACATTGAATTATTATACATATTATGAAAGAGTGTTTTATCCCAAATCATCTTTTGTGTGTGGTATGTTGTAGATCTATGTGTTCACGCTTGAAAGAACAGGAGCATGGAGGAGGCATTGTAATTTGTGAGAGTGCGAAAATCGACTTGTATTTTGTTGTAAGTATCAAAGTGAGAGAATGTATTGAATGTTTAAAATGAGATGGATTGCATTTGCTTTTTGCAGAAACAAAGTCACACACACGCGCACAAATGTTCTTTGATATGTGTGGCATGATTCATTTTGTTAAACTTGATCTGCAAAGACCAAATTAAAAATGATTAATACCCAAATCCCAATTGTTTTATTCAAACATCACTTTGTTTTTGTTGTTGTTGGTAAATGTTTTATGGCGTTCATTCAGTAATGAATATATACGCCATAAATATCTTCAATTTTATAAGAAAATCAGTTATAGTCTTCATAAGAAAACTGAGAATAAAGATTTGTAATGAAATAATTAATTAATAAGTAACGCAATTTATTCAGAGTGTCTGGATGGTTTGCAACTTTGTGTTTCTGCTTTTTTAAAGTTTAATCTGGTCAGCCCGGTTTCGATTGCATGGAAACTAGCTTTGCCCGATTTGAAACAGGCTTCTCTTTGGCACAGGTCGATTTGTGCACTCTCTTAAACAATGTCTTCCGTTCATCCAAGCATACCTAACTGTGTACACAAATGATACCTAATGTGGGATAAAATACTCTTTCATGAGATGCATAATAATTTATTGTTCAATCATAGATCTAGATGATTTTTAAAATAATTAGCAATTTTCTAAGTGTCAACTTTTTTTTGGACTCACACTGTAGTGGCTGATCTTAGCAGTTGAGAGACTAACTTTCATTAAGACCATTGAAGACTGGTATTTCCATGCTGACATGAAGTTATTTAATACAGCTTTTGAATCAGAGTGACAGAGATCGCTTCTCCCCTCCTCCCAATTACAAATACGATTAACAACTAATTAATACTACAAATAGTATTGCTATTGCACTTCTTTAGCCCAATAATTTTAGATTTAGATTTCAATTTTTTGCTGGTAAAAATAGATTCTGTTCTCAATTTCATTTTCAGTTCCAAAGAAATATGCATTTGACTCAACAAAAGGAGCCTCTGCTTCAGACGATCCAAATGATAAAACAGTAAAAAAGGTGAGATTATCTTGATCTATAACCTTACCTTTCTTTGTCCAGTATAGATCAATTTTGTTTGTAAATACTTATATTAGTTTTAGTATGTCACTCTTCTATCTGGATTTCTTATTTAAAGGAAAAATAAATAAATTTTGCCACAATAATGTGTCATATTGTCCCTTATTGCTTTATATTGAAGTGCCATAGTCATAGATATGATGATAAACAAGAGTCAATTTATTCTGTTTTGTTGAAAGATCATTGAATACAAGTAATTATCAGGGAGGGGGGGGGGGTGGAAAAGGCAATGAAAAGTAAGTGATATCACTTCTGTTATTTCTTTTAATTGAATGATATGTGAATGCTGGAATTAGTGCAAGAAAGGTGCCACATCTGATTCTGATGACTTAGTTTATCTCCAAAGTAAGAGAAAAATGGAGGGTGAGAGATGAAGCATAAGTGAGACTGAGAGTTATAGAGCACTGGCATTCGAACAGAAGAGAGAGAAAAAAGACAATAATTATCAAGTTCAAATATAAATCAAGTTTGTGCTGATGTGAATAATTTGCTAATGTTCTTGGTTTAAGGTGATTCTTCCAGTAGAAGAGGAGCAGGTTATTGTTAACGAGATCTTGAAGTACAAAGAAGCCAATGACAGTGGAAGCACTGTGTCTGGCAGGCTCACCAACAAGAAACTTACGGTAAGATGTGTGGTATTTGGATATATTTCTACCCCCTTGGTATTCCTCAGGCCAGGTATGTGTGTGTGTGTAATTGGGTTTATAACTTTATACAGACGTGTATCAATTTAAATCAGATAAATTATTTACATCCTGGACTGACCATTTAAGTCACCATCCAAAAGACGTGACTCAGTTTTGAACCAGGGTCGCCTGAGCCAGTTTGTAATAATCTGTGGGCCGTAAATATTGCTGAACTAAAATCATTATTGTGTAGAGCAAGATATTTTATGTTTTTCCCATCAACTCTCTAGATCTACATGAAATATTGAAATTGTGGTTTCATTTTGTGTGTTTTCATCCAAAATGATGGGAAAAGTATTTGAAATGTATTTTATTCTGGATCTCTGGTTATTTTGACACATATTTATATTGGTGTTTTTCCTGTGTAATGAGTAGACAACTAGACATTATTCTAAAGTGCATCTTGTTCTTGTACAAACTTCTATTTCATTTTTAAAGGATTTATACAATGCCCTAGAAGATGTTGGTTTTAAGCACAGTCAGATATGTGATGCCATGCGAAGTACTGTCAGCTATGGGGGTGATCTTCACTCTGCTTTAGATTGGCTCTGTCTTAATCTCACTGATGGTAAGATACTGCTAACTCTGTTGAGAGCAAGGAGGGTGTGAATATTTTATTGAGGTATTGCCCGTTTGGTTCTCAACAGGCTAATTATTAATATCAGTTAGTAGCTTAGACATCTTTGAATGATGGTTCCACAGTCTAATATGGCTTAAAAAACTTTTTTTTTTAATTTTTGTAATGATTAATTTCTGTATCATATTAATCAAGTATTTTCATTTCCTCAATGGTAAAACTGAATTATAGAGCCTGGCAAGGGATAGGTATTTATATGGATAATTCTGTTGATAATTTTTATATTGAGCTTTTTGAAAAGATTTATGATCTTTGTGAATGTAAGGACCTTTTGCTTCATGCATTCTTATGTTTGATCGTGATCCTAAAAAAAAAAATATTTGTTCATAGTTTTATATACTTCTATATATTTGATCAATTAATACTCATCAATATTTTTGACTGTGTTTACTTTTCTATTCAAGAATCATTTGACTGCATCATCAGTGAACAATAGTGATCATGTATTAAAGTTTATCTCTATAATTTCATAAATCAGGTCAGTTACCAAGTGGATTCACAGAGAAATATGTCCAAGATGATGCAAAGAAGAAGAAGGAGAGGGCCAAGTTTGTTCCAGAGGATGAAGGAAGTAAGAAAGAAAGGAACACAGCCAGACCTGAAAAGAAAGTAAGTTCTAAATATATGACCTTGTAAAAAAAAATTAAAAAAAAACTTGTTGCAGTAGGAATAGAGATTTTATACAATTTCGTACCTCCACTTTGGATATTTTGGATGGCAGGTCCAAACTCAAAGATCATTTATGATATGATTGTTTGAAATATATTTTCTTTCTTATCATGATTTTTTAACATTGATTGGGCGCAGTGATAATTTTGGATTTGGGGGCCTACCATCTACTACACTTTATTTATATAAAAATTGTGCAATATTACCTTGTTCATGGAGTTATGATTAAAATTATATGATTATCTAGTGTTATTGACACAGAGAGTTTATGCCTACAGTGAATTCATGCTTCATATCTGCTGTCTAGCGGGTATTCATATCAATGATTTTAAAGGTCATACTAAATATGTTATCATATAGGCTTCCAACACATTTCCAGATCATCCATAAGACCTGAGAAGTGAGTGATGTCTTGCCAAGGCACATTTGTGGAAGAACAATTTAAGAGTGAGTGATTAATGAAAATTTTAGGGCAAAAAATGGATAAAGGATAAAAGACTAGAAAGTTATAATTTTGTTTAAAGTCAGAAAAAGTTGGATAAAGGATAAGAAGGATATTGATGTTTTAAAGAAAGATTACCGACAGCCCTTTTCAGGACTCCCCAATCCTCCCCCTCTCTCTCTTTCACATGGTGCAACTGTAAACCTACTGTATAATACTCTGCTTGTTTGTATATTTCAGAGTGTTGATAGTAGCTCCACCCAAAGTAGCACATCTAGCAAGGAGTGGACCATGCAGCGATATGCAGATATGAGCAGTGACGATGACAATGACAGTCTCAAAGATGATGGACAGCCAGATTCCTGGAAAAGAGAACCTGTAAGTTTGACCACATGTACCAACATTTCATTGGTTTACACTAAACTGGCTCATAAAATACTTTCATCTTTATGTGTCATCCTCAACAACTACTACCATATTTCTCCTGGTAATTTTTTTGTTCTGAAAGTGAAAGGTATACCTACATTTGAAAGGCATTCCTGTGAGCAAGCCTCACACCATCATAGAATTATTGCTTAATAAGTTTGATTCATTCCAGTTTCCCAAGCTCAATTTCATGCCTACAATTTTACTCTTTTATTAAGAAAAAGAAGCTTTCACATTTTTTTCTTTGACCTTTGTCTGCAGTTAATTTACAGTTTTTACACCAATTATTTAATGATATAAGGAACAGATTGTATTTGACCATTGTTGTATACCTTTGGCAGAATGAGTACTACATAGAACTTACAGCTTTGATGTTTGATGCTCAAAACAAGGCTTCTGAGGCTAAGGTGAATGGTGACAAGAAGAGGAAGAAAAAAGCAAGTGAAAAGATTCAAGACTGCTTACGAAGTAAGTGAATAGTATGCATATTATTCACCACCCATTATTTAATCCATTAAGTGGATGCAATGGTTGGTAGTTTGGTAAACGGTAAGTCCTACACATGTAGTTCAACGCGTGAACTTGGCTGTTGTCTGATATGAGATCTAGTTCATTGTTGAGCTTGACTTTATTGGGAGTCTGATGTGATTTCTAGTTCAGTGCTTGAACTTGATGTGAGTTCAATGATCATTTTTAGATGATGGAAATGAAAAGATACATTAACAGGAACAGGATTCATAATCAAGGAGTAAAAGAAGGAAAAAAGTGACAATGCAAAATAGAAAGAAACTGAAAACAAAGTAAAACAAAGGAAATGAATCGATCCAGAATTGTAACGACATGCTGGATAAATTATGTGTTAGGAATGCAAAAAAGAAGCGTAATCTTTGTAAATACACTAGCATTCTTACTCTGAGATACATTTTTCAAGATTCATTTTCTTCATCAATTTCAGTCATGGCAGAAGTTGAGGAGCATCCACTGTTTGATCCCAAAGTGAAAGTCCAAGAGAAGCCACGCCCTGAACCCAAACGCCATGATGATGTTCAAGCCTCGTCATCTTCAAGTAATGTCTTAGATGATGATGATTCGGGTGGGGGAGCCTTTGCCTTGTTTGATGCTATGGAAGCTGAAGCCAAGTCTGCACCTTCACCTACCTCGGACACCTCAACTAAGAAGAAAAGTATGTATAATGACCCTGAATTAAATTTTGAATGCTATCCATAGTTATAATTGAGGTGGCTGGATTTGAATAATGGAAAAACCATTGAGTAAATTATACAAGTAACTTTGTTACATTATATGCTAGAATACTAAATTTGTGATCCAACATTTGCTCTTTCACCCAAAATATAGGATTTCAGTTAGTTTTACAATTTGGGGTTAGGTTAGTGTTGAGGTTAGGATACGAATTGGTTTTCGGGTCGGGCTTGAATTTAATACTTTGATTAATGTATAATTGACTATGGGGCAATTTTAGTGGAAGGGTGCGTTGCACAATCATAAAATGATGAGATGCCTCTATATTTTGTTTCAATTTTTAGCTGAACCCGCAGCTCCACCAGATGTGAGAGATTTTTCCTACACAAAGAAGGTGTGGACAGGGAAAACCCCCAAGCAATTCTTGATTGACTGGTGTCGAAAGCACTTTCCAAAGTCCAGCCCTCCCAAGTACCAGAAGATACAAGCGCATGGGAACCTATGGAGATGCAAGTTAGTCCAGCATTGAAATCTGTTATTTCTCCTCTTGAGTTGTATGCCAAATATTCTTAGTCTCTGTATAGTGCGAAGATGCTGACCAGTATGATTTCATTGTATCCTTTTTAATGGATTTTTCAGACCCTTAATTTGACATATCTGAATCTGGCAGATATGAAAATGTTTAATTGAATTAGAGTAGCAGAGGGGTTTTCAGCTCCATATCCATGTCTTGAGCAAAGACCAGTTGGGTAACAATTGTCCGATAGGGTTTGTCTATGTAGTAGCTTTCAAGTGAAAATTGTGGACAAGACATCCATTAACTTTAAGTGATCATACAAAACTGACATGCTTATGTTTGTAAATGTTCTTATATTTGTTAATGATGCAGAGTAACTGTGGATAGACCTAAGCAGGAACCTCTGGTCTTCAGAACAGAAATCCTGACCGAGAATACAATGGAGGCACATCATCTGGCCAGTGTGCATGCTTTCTGGCATCTTGCAAAGGGACAGGTGAGTGTTGTTAGACCAACTGTAGGAGTGATATGGCTCAGTTGATGGAGTGATGATCTTGGAATCAAGTGAAATGTCTTAAATGAGTGATTTTACATGATCAAGCAACAATTACTCTGGGCTTAATTTCACCAAAGATATAGAGCAGGGTTGCCATTGGGTTCAAGGTTAGGCTAAGGGTTAGGGTCCAAGATTGAAGTTAAGTATTCTGTAGGATATTGACCATAGCGCAAGTCTTGACAGAAGGTGTGTTGTACAACAGTTCAAGAGTGCTAATGCACATGGGTTAGTTATTCACAAACGTCACCTACACCTACATGTACATATACAATACTTATGAATAGATTTGAATCATCCATGTGTTTAGCTTACATGTTATCTTCCTACATTGAACAGTCTATTCAGCAGCTGCTACCCCCACCATATCGTGATGTATGGCTGGAATGGATGGATGCTGAGACAAAGGAGAAAGAAGAGACAACTGAAAGAAAGAATAAGGTGAGAAAATGAACATCCACGATACCTTCAGACAAGCTACATTTTACTTTGGAATAGTCATCTGTTCTAATAAGCAGGGCATCACAGCCCTTGCACTAGACTTAGAGTGAAACATGTACATGCTGTCTGTTCAGTACAAGTTATTCTTACTATCCTTTTCATGAAACACCCTGTACAACGATGATATATTTATCGTATACACATAAATTGAGAATAATATATAGTTTTTAGTAATTGATTGAAAGAAAAGCTTTAAATAATGTCTTATTGAAGTTATTTTGTTTTGCATTCATCAGAGTAAAATGCAAGAATAAACCTAAAGCTGAGTGCAGGCTAAGAAACTGTAGTACATATGTACTGAAAGCTGTTCAAGTTTGTATGCTAAGCAATTTACCAAAAAGTATAAAGTAGAGGTCATGTCTCTAAGCCACTAATTCATTTATAGACATCTTCATCAGGTCAACTATAATATTTCTTGTCTATATATATCTACCACTACAGCCCAGGGATCAGTTTGTTGGGCAGATGCTGAAACAGATCAAGGCATCTCAATCAAAAAATAATACCGATCAACCAGAAAAGAAGAGAGAAGAAGGAGAAGGAGAGGAAGATGGAGAAGAGGCAGAGAGCTGGGAGGATGCTTGGGATGATGAAGAGGAGGAGGAGGAGGAGGAGGAGGTAGAACTCTATAGATTATGTCATTTAGAATATAGACTTATTAACTTTTAAAAAACGGTGTGGTATAGTGATGATTTGACTTAAAATTTCTGACAAAATTTTCATTTTACTGTTTATTCACTCCCCGAGTTCTGTTACCTTATTTGAAGACATGTGATTCATCAAGTTTCCAGCAGCGAGAAGTTTCACTTACATTGCCAATTTCAAAACAAACAAGAATCTTTATTTTTGTAAACAAAAATATTGTGTTACCAAGAAAACCTGTTTAATGCCTAAATTTACCTTAAAATTGTTTACTATACAGTGCGTCCCAGAAAAAATGAAACCGAGAATTATCCATGTTTTATCATAACTGATCACAATTATAATTAATAAATGACACATAAAGCTTAGATCCTCTTTAATTTGATGCAACTCGTATGATGCATATTTCATGCATGAGTGATTACAATTAATTTGAAGAGAGGGAACCAAAAAGTAATTTGGCTGACGTTATCTGAATTTCAAAGAGAAAATCACATTTCTAGAAAGTTCAGTTTCTGCCCTTTCATATGACACCACAATCAGGAAAAATGAGCAAGGAATAACAAAATTCTGTTTGTTTAAAGTGATGCACTGTATATATTATCTAGCTATAAATGTGATTTATGATACAAACAGAAGTGAAGGTTACTTTTATCTATGTTAAATACTTGATGTGATTGTAGGCAAATAAAATGGATGTGAAGATTCGGCCAAACCAAGGAAAGGGACCATTGGTGACCAACAGGACATTGAAAACAATCTTGGAAAAGAATTCGGTAAGAATCTACCAATTGTTATGGCGGGTAGTTATAATGACTACAATCTGGAGAAATGTATTTCTATGATATTGATTGCTGAGCCATGTGGGATACAGTTTTTATGATATGTGCAATGTTAATCTGTCAAGACTAACAAACAGTCAACCTGCTCTAACAGTAACCTGTATACAAAGACCACCAATGAACAAAGACTACATTCGTGTTTTTTTCCATAAACAAACTTCCTCAATGAAATGTGTCTTAAAAGAACCTATATATAAAGAATACCTGCCTATAAAGACACATTTCATTGTATACTTTCATTGTATAATCTAATTTTAGAGGGACATTTTTAAATGGACATGAAAGTTGCAAAACAAAAACAAGGTACAATTGTTTTAATATCAGCTTGCAACATTTTCATTTTTTTAATTAGAATACAACTCAACATGGACGATTATTGGAGAAAAGGAAGACTCTTCCTGTATTCCAGCATCGAGACCAAGTCTTAGAGCGTATTTACAAAGATTCCATCGTCATCGTGGCGGGGGAGACGGGGAGTGGAAAGAGTACACAGATACCACAGTTTTTGTTGGAGGTAAGGAGATACTTCATCATTTGGGATATGTTTCCATGGCAATGATTATTAAAAGATTGTAGAAGACTTGAAGTGTTGTAAGGTGCTGATACTGTAAAGGTGGCTTTGATACGTGTTGGTACATAATGCGGTTGCTTGTTTGTGTGAAAATGAAGTATCATGCCCTTGAGTAAAACATTTAATCTAAATTGCATCTCTTCACCCAGGTGGTGAATGGATACCCGGTAGGGTGCCAATATTGTTGTTGTTGGATTATAGTTGGAAAATAGTGAAAGGCTAAAATACTCCTCATTGTGGAGCGTGTGTGCAGTGCTTTGTAACTGCAAGGAAAAAGCGCTATATCAAATATCTTTTGGATTAGATTGGAATGGAGAGTTTGCACTTTAAATTGCAGAAATATAATTAAGCCCAGTGATCAGGTAATACAACATGGTTAACACTTTGGTCAGTTACAGGTACATAAAACTGTTAAGATGTTATGTAAGGTAAATGTAAACAACAGTTGTTATGAAAATGATATTATCATTCTTTTTATGCAAATGCTGATCGGAATATTTGTATAGAGAGTAGCAGTGCAAAACCCTCAGTTTATTTTATTTCCCCTTGGCTTAAGGTTTGGGTCAAAAGAATAATCCATGATTGCATTATTCTTTCATACCATGTTAATTCTTAATTGATCATGTTGTTTCTTTCAGGATCTTGTTTTGTCTGGTCGTGGAGGATCTGGTAGCATTGTATGCACTCAACCTCGTAGGATCTCAGCTACTAGTCTGGCTAAGAGGGTCTCTCAAGAACTAGGAGAGCCTGGCCCTGGACACAGGGTAAGTTGATATAGGACTGTTTTTACAGGGACAGCTGGCATGACCATGTGAACAAATAACTATTCTGTTGCTACCTGAAGTGGCAAATGTTTGCCATAGCTCAATATCTAGAAAAATCATTTAGGATACAGAGCAGACATATTACATAGAATATGATAACATCAGGAAAAAAGGGACATATTCAAACTAGAGGAAAGTGAAATCATAATTTATCAATATGTGATCAAGCAAAAATAGTGCATAATGCTTCCATTTGAATTCACTAATTTTTGTTTTGGAATCTATATTTTTACCCTTTTACTCCTTTAAACAAAGAGTGGATTGTTGTTAGATGAAAGTAAATAAAACTAAAATGAACACAAATTAAATCGCGCTTTTAGACCATGGTGCAATTTAAGCGACATGAAACTCTACAACATTTCTCCACATTTAAATTTTAATCTTTATATGTCTATTGACATGAATTTCTTTTCCAGGACTCCCTCTGTGGATATCAGATACGCCTTGAGTCTAAGCAGACAAGTACCACTCGACTCCTCTACTGTACCACAGGGGTTCTCCTACGTAAGCTGCAGCTTGATCCATCACTAAAAGACATCTCCCATATCATCATTGATGAGGTCAGTTTCTTAAGCCACATTCACATGTGATGTATTAAACCATCCCCAAAATGGTGGCTACAGAAGAAGATGACATAAACATAGTGCACTTCTCATTTCTGCATCTTATACATGTAATATTTGGATATAAGTCAGCCTGCGTCGGGCCTTTGTTGAATGCAGATATTTTTCATCCTCATTTGCTATTCATTCTCATATTATTTTTAATTTGTTCTAGCATTTTGTTAAGGTTGTTTACTGCACCGTGTGTACAAGCCTTATTTTATATTTTTTACCCTGCAAATGAACATCCTAGGTCATAGATTAAAGCCAGTGGTTAAATTGTCCATTTATTGTAGAATATTGCAAAAGTCATATGTGAAAAAAAAATATGAATTTTTAGTGTGCAAATGTGACTTGCACACTCAACGGCAGGATGAAATAAAAAAATTCATGGATCTCTCATTGGCTAAGAATGGTAGAGGTACTATTGGACCTACCAATATGATTCAGCACTCAATGTTCACTATTCAAATTGTTGGGTAGAATATGTTTTCCTTAGCATGGAAGGGGTTAACCTTCCATTGTCATTGTTTAGGCCTACAAGCACTGTATGCAATGGAATATTCCGATGATCATTTTAAGGGAATCGCTAAAGATTTCAACTTATAACCCATACCCACCTTTCTTTCCTCATCCCATATAGGTTCATGAGCGCAGCGTCCAGTCTGATTTCCTGATGATCATCGTGAGGAAGCTGGTGCAACAGAGATCAGACCTGAAGCTTATTCTGATGAGTGCAACGTTAGACAGTCAGAAACTGTCTGCTTACTTCTACCATTGTCCTGTTATTAACATCCCTGGAAGAACCTTTCCAGTTCAGGTCAGTCACTCTCCATGGCAATCAGGCATGGACTGAATGCATCAATTTACTTATATTTTATCAACTGAAAGGCTTATTTATGTTTGGAGTTGTCTGTTCAAAATTGATATTTCTCTTGTGTAAACATAAAGAATATGTATATAAGCAAACCTGATTTTGCAACCCCCTGTATAGGAGGAGCACTTGTCAAGATCACATTTTTTTTTTTTACCAATTAAAACTGTTTCTCATTGCACCTGTACTAAAGGAAGCTGTGCATTGATACCCATCTCTAAAGTCTAAATAATTTTGTTTCCCTTTAGAAATCTTTATATACAGGTTTGACTGTCCCATAACATCATACACAATCCTACATATATAGTATGAGAGTAGATAGGATCAATATTGTTTCCCACATTTGAAACTACCTTACATGTTATGTATGTAACAACAATTATCTGATGTTAAGATCCTGACACAACACCACATCACTTGTAAAGCCAGAGAGTAATGATGAATGATATACTTCTCCTACTAACAGGTGTACCATCTAGAGGATGTAGTGGAGGAGACAGAGTACCAGCTAGAGAGTGATTCTAGGTATGCTCTTAGATACGAATCATTGGCACAGGAAGATAAAGCAACTGTTTCTGTGACCTCAAAGGGTGGAGACTCTAAGCAAGTTCAGGTACTAACAACAATTCTTCTTCATCAAGCTAGTCATGAGGTCTGGTTATGGAATTCCACTTCAAAAGAAACTGGCTCATATCATCATATTTATCATGCTGTAGATAGTTTGTATGGACTAGCAAAACAAACCAATTAAACATACTGCAAATTGCATTTACTGATTAGCATAACCCATGTATTGCACAGATATGTGTGAGATCATGCTTTTGTTATTCATGTGGGTTGAGATGAGTAGTTTGGTTTTGCTGCTAATTTCTAAGATATATCTTAGTTTCTACCAAATTTATTTGGAAGATAATCATTCAATTTAATGTTCAATGACAGCTTTTGATTTTCAAACATATAGGATATATATCAAAATTAACGATAGGATTTTTGTTGTTGAATATATGATCAAATGATTCTCATTAACCTTTTGAATGCAATTTTTCATTTTATAACAGCTTTCTTGGGAAACAAATGATGTTGCTAACCTTGATGAGGTAAGAATTTGTTTGTTCTTTTTTACTTGTTAGTGTTGAGGTATGATGCATTGAACATAAGACATTACTTCCCTTTTTATAATCCTAAAATTACAATTCAGTCTGATCCTATTCATTTGATATTTTATTGTCCAAAAATATAGAAAATGCATTTTGTGAACAGTGCATGGTACACAAGAAAAATCAATACAAACAACATAAACATATTAATATTACTAATTCAGGAGAATATAAGATGTATAATATAGTCATTTATTTATTGCGACCATGTGTGAGTTTTTACACAAAAGGGGAAATGCTGTAAAAAAAATTAATTCAATATGTGGTGTTCCAAAACTTGTGCGGTCAAAAAATTAGTCTAAAGTAACATATGGTAGCTTTTTATGCCCATGTCATATATTTCTGTACTTGATGTTTTCTTATTTCTTTCTTCAGTAAAGCATCCTTTATAAATTTATTTTTATATGTGCAAACTTGACCCTGTTTTTGTTATCCTTGTGATGTAGAGTGGTTTGGACATTGAAAAGTATAGTAAGCGGACAAGACAAGTTATTACAAGACTCAATCCTGATACAATCAATATGGACCTCATTGTGGTAAGTTTATTTCATGTAATAGACAATATTTAGTTCAATTTTTGAAATACATAGAATAGCATCATGATTTAGGTAATTCTGATTGTTACAGAAATAACTGTTAGGTATTGCAATTTAAAAGCCTATGTTGCAATTCAATCATAAAGCCAAGCATTTTACCACAGTGAACTGCTTGAAAAATACATAAACAAGTGGCTATGTAAAAAACGTTTTCCTTCGGTAATGAATGGCAAATGGGATGGAAAAAAGAGCTGCACTTGCAAAGGCCACAAAGTATATTTAGTTATTTGTGTGTTGTAGCATCAAGAAGTTGCAGCATGTTCATTGAATCATATGTGAAGATGGCTTAGTCAGTCAAACTGAATTAATAGTTCGATAGACAGCAAGGTAATCAAGGAGATAAGTTACACTGTAGCAAGTGAAAATGCTAATTGAAAGAAAATTCAACCCCTTCTCTTTATTTTGTATATGCGCCAAAGTGAAATAAATGATTAACTAAAAGAATGAAGTGAGAAAATGATATTTTATCCCACATTGTTTTGTCACAGGAATTACTGAGCTACTTAGAGCAGGTGCCAACATTTAAATCTGTTCAGGGCGCTGTTTTAATCTTCATGCCTGGCCTGGCTCAGATCCAACAACTCTATGAGATGCTACAAGCAGATCCAAACTTCTCAAAAACAGACAGGTAATAAGATTATGCATATTTTCTAATGATATTAAGGCCCCATGAAGAGGAGTACTTTGAAAGCTGTATATAAAGTCCATTCAAAGGAGGCAGGAGACCCTTATAGGCAGGTTACCTTTATGTAAAGGTCACCATACAACAGGTTGTATGAGAAACACTTTGTAGCAAACACCCCAAAAATATATCTTTTATAGACAGGTGGTTTTCATGCTGGCATTTGCTAAACCATGTTTTACTTAACTCACTATAGTTGGTGATAGATTAAAACTCAAAGAGTGTCAGAGTGCCGATGCCTTCTGGTTCTCAATTCACAAATATGTCACATCATTACTGACCTATAGCGTTTATTCTGCTTCTGCATAAAATCGTCTGTTTTCTTATCCATCAAAAAGTATGAATTAACATACATTTTGAGTTCATCATGGAAGTTCTCTATCTAATCTTTTCCTGTGTCTACAGATATACTCTCTTAGCTCTCCATTCCGTGCTGTCATCAGATGATCAGAGCGCTGCATTTGGCATTCCTCCACCTGGTGTGCGCAAGATCGTCATAGCAACCAACATAGCTGAAACGGGTATCACCATTCCAGATGTAGTCTTTGTCATTGACGCTGGCAAGGTCAAAGAGAATAGGTACACTTTAAAGAGTCGCTGAATGTAGTACTTGTATACTTGTGCATCAATTGCATAAATATTGGCAATGATTGATAACCACATGATATTTGGCTATATTTTTACTTTGATATTACGATGCTTGTTATAATTCTGTAAGCTACTTAAGGGATCATTATCATTTGAGGCCTTCACACTTATGATATTAATTCTTTTTTTGATATATAAAAAAAACTTGTAACAGCAGTCAACATACAGTAAATTCTTCATTCTTGCATTGTGAGATCCTTTTACTGTAGGAGGGTGGCTAGAATCGTAATGAATGAGACTTGACAGTTTTTACAATAAGTATGTTAAAAAATTCCATGTTTAATAATAATACAAATTTTATATGGCGCTTAATACAAAGGTCTCTAAGCGCTTTACAAATATACTATTACCCCGGTCATTGGATTCAGTGCTTGCCCGCACACACTGTGATTATTTAAACTCAGTTGTAATTATGTGCTTGCATATCAGCAACCAGGTGCCCTACACCTGTATATCCTATCCGAGTGACTAGCTGCATCTAAATGTCTTCCATCTCGTTTGAACCACAGGTACAATGAGCGTAGCCAGATGAGCTCACTGGAGGAGATGTATGTGAGTAAAGCCAGTGCCAAGCAGAGACAGGGTCGAGCCGGTAGGGTGAGGGAGGGCTTCTGTTTCCGGCTGTACACCAAGCAGCGCTATGATGTCCTAAGGTCATTCACTCAGCCAGAGATTCAGAGGGTTGCACTTGAAGAACTCTGTCTGCATATCATGGTAAGGATGAGGCAGGATGCTAAAGTGTTCTCTTGGATGTGATATGATTGATTAACATCTGTAATGCCTTCGTTCAAGGGGACCAGTCACCCAAACATGTTGTGCTTGGAATTTGTGGGTTCCATGCTGGTATACAATATTCAAAACATCTGCTTCTAGTAATACTTCTGTCACAAGACATTTCAAATTGAATACTTTCTTAATATAAAATAAAAGCAAGTTGTGAGTAGACAATGTTTTAACTTATTTCTAGTCTTATTTTGAGTATGAGGGGACTTCAAGAGCTCTCCATTACATTGCTATTTTAACCATCATATTCTTCCACATCAAGAAATATGAGAGATTGAGAAACCTAATAAATAAGTCTTCACCTTTCTACAAACTTACCCTTCTTTTTAAATCCAGAAATGTTCCCTAGGCAACCCTGAAGATTTCTTGCAGGAGGCCCTAGATCCACCCCTCCCCCAGGCCGTGCGGGCCTCCATGTCTCTCCTGAGAGAGGTTGGGGCGTGCCTGGCTGATACCCCAACCCTGACACCCCTCGGACAGCATTTAGCGGCCCTGCCAGTCAATGTCCGCATCGGCAAGATGCTTCTGTTCGCTGCCATCTTTGGCTGTTTGGAGCCAGTGGTGAGTGCAAAATGGATTCAGTATACAGGGCCTACAGGTATAATGTGTGATGTATGATGTAAAATATAAATGATACATGATATTCTATATGTGGTTTATATTTAATTTACTACATACCTGTATTATATTGTACGAACAACAATGTGATAAATATATAAAGGTTATTATTGACACCATCATTAAATTGGAAAAGGCATAGATTTGACACTTTTAAAGTGCAAAATATCAGATAACTTTTTGTTTTTAATCTCATTGTACACATGGGAATAGCCTGGAATGATCCATAGAATCTCATTCATAGACATATTACTCAAAGGACTGTTCTCGCATTCCAGCAGTCGTTGCTCCATTGAACCATTTATATGCCAATCAATTTAAACTTGCCCTTTACATATTTGTGCTTAAGATTTACTTTCTATAGACTTGAAAATTGTCCTGAAATAGATGGTTGGTTTTGATTGCCAGTACGAATTAGTTATAAACACAACATGCTAGTCTCCTTTTGCAAGACACTTATACAGTAGAATATGTACATGTAAATTAGCTAGTTGGCATTGAAAAGGGGGGAAAAAACTTTCACCTCTTATTTGTAATTTTCTATCCATAGGCAGTGATAGCTTCAGCAATGACCGACAAGCCACCATTCCTAGTACCTCTAGGGAAACGCAGCCAGGCTGATGCTGCTAAACGTTCAATGGCTGTAGCCAACTCAGACCACATCACCATCTACAAAGCTTTCTCAGGGTATGATCAAACTCAGCTCGTAACTATTCAATAGCTTGATCTAAGTTTACAAGACAGTAGTTTCATGTCCAGTGAAATTTCTGTGAGGAGATTATGGTACACTTGTGAGTCAGAATCTTGAAAGATTGGAAGTGCAAATATGCTTGTCTGAAGAAAAAAATTCAGAATCACTGCTTTTCAAAGTAAATAAAAAAAAAAGAATGAAATATAGTCTGATGTAAGTTTAGTGTATACCATACAGGAAGGAGTACTGCAGGCCATCATTTTGAAACCTTTACTTCTGCCCTTGTGCTTTAAACTTATCATTGTTGCTAATTTGATTATATTTTCTGTAAAGACATATATTGGTGTTGATTTCAGAGTAGCTATCCTTAAGACATGGATAGTTGTTTAAGCAATACCATAGAGAAACCAGCTTTATCTATACCCTCTCTCTTTCTCTGTCTTTGATGGAAGTGTACACTAGATACCCCTGTGTCACACTCTGTATAGATGAGGGACATTTGAATTTTGCAAGATAAGGTTAGAGACAACAGTCTGATAGTAGCATAGCATGTGTTGCAATAACCTGACTTGGACCACTTCTGTGAGATGGAATGTGTGTGAACTAAGACAGTCTACATTTTTTCTTCCCCAAAAGAAACGGCCATCTCTCTCATGAAGTTCCAGTGTAGATATTTTATTCCCAGTTCATGAATGGAAAAGGCTTTCTATATCAAAATAAAAGTTTATTGATGTCTTGGGTCCTAAAAGGAGGCCCAGAAGAAGTAAAAGGAGAATTTATATCTGTAAATTTTGTTGAGAAGTGGATGAGGAAAGCAGCGCCTTTCATTCTTATCGTATACAGATTCTTTTCCCATAACGCAGTCAACTGAGTGCCCCAAAATATTGCTTTGGTAAATTAGAACTATATAAGCGTAGTGCACTTTACAACTCTGTATTGATATAACAATCAAATAAATGTGCTCACCTTGTTTAACTTTCACTTTCCATTAATTTACACTTATAATTTTTAATTTTGCCACAGAGGTTTTTTGTGGCAGTTTACTGTGTCATATCTGAATAGAGCTTAACTTTCTTTTTGACTTTGCTATGGTCAGGTGGAAGGAAGCTCGGAGTAAAGGAAGATCTGCAGAATCAAGATTCTGCCATGGCAATTTTTTGAACAGAACAGCTCTCTTGAATATGGAGGTGAGAAAAGAAATGTAGCATTCACATTTAAATGTCTGTCTCTGATGAAACTAAGAAATGGTACTAAACAGTGGTTCAAGAGTAATGTAGTTATCAAAAGAATGAGTGTAACTTTTTATATAATAGTGTTGATGGTTACTTGATTTTCAGAAAGACACACTGTTCAGCATGTTCAGCATGCAGTAGAATAATTAAATTTGGGTGGCCTTCTTAAATTGTATTAATTTTCATTTGTGGACATTGTTTTTAAGAAGTGACATACATTAAAATAAAAAAGTTTAGAATGGTATGTGAGTGAGAGGATGCCATACAGGTGTAATAACAATTGGAAGGTAAAACATTCATTGATTTCTTTTTAAATTTTTTTGCTTTTTTCAAATATATGAGTAAAATGAATGAATTAAGAAGTATTCTTGTAATGGTAAACTGAATTCTTAACATTACTTCTGTCATCCTTTATAACTTTTTATTTCCCACTTTCTAGAACGTGAAGAGAGACCTCATGCAATTGGTCAGATCCATCGGTTTTATTCCTTCACCAACCAATAATAAATCTGCTTCTAACGCATCAGCCAAGCAGCCGTCACTCTCAACCAAGATGGAGGTTCTTGAGATCAGCAAGACTGAATCATTATATGGATACAAAGATGCATTCCCTCTGACAGCATCCAATACTGCCTTGCTCAAGTCTGTTCTTACAGCCGGTAAGTTTTTCACTCTATAATGTAAACCTCAACCTCACTCCCCCTTAACCCACCCCCCCCCCCCTCCCAAAACCGTGTAATGTTGGTTGGTTGGTTGCTTGGTTGCTTTGAGTTTTTTAATTTTTTTTTTATTAACATCCCCCAAATTCTCTCTGCACAATTAAAACACCTATTTAGTAATAAAATCAGGGTTCATATTAATTAAAGGATTAATCATCACACACATTTTCTATCAGGCAGTACAGAGATCATTGATTTTAGTCAGCTATTATTTTCTGTCCAGTTGCAAAAAGTATCAGGACAGCTTTTTCATGCAGTAGACACTATATTAGATTCTTGTTTCCCCTCTTCTTCCACGTTTCTCTAGTTTTCATTTTTCAATCTCAGCACTTGTGATTTAATCTGGTACCCTTATTTTCCCACTAGTCTTCTCGGACTCGTCTTTATCTTGTCATCTCTCAACAGCCTAAAAATGCACATATAGATCCAAACTGCCACTGATATTTATGAATGGTTAACATCAAATCTGATCATTACTACATTATGCTTCTGTATTCCAATGTTGCAAAGACCACATAGGAATCTCCCAAATTTCTCCTGTCATCACTCAACAGCATATATTCACACATAAAATCTTCTCTACATCTGATATCCATGAATATTTAATATCAAACCAGGCTTGTAGGAGTATTTGTAGACTCAATGGGATGCCTTCTTTAACACAAGGCTGATATGTCACAAGACTGTCTATCCCATTGTTGCCAACACAACATCCAATTCTCCCAATTTTCTCCTTCTGTCACTCAACAGCACACATATAGGGATAGAGCAACAATGATTTGGTGCTGCTCAGTGGCTGCCGGGCCCACGATCAATTGGGCAAAAAGAATTTCCATTTTTCGGTTTAATAAAATTTGGAGTGGACTTTAAAAGATTATTATTATTATTATATATCCATACTGCTTCTAATGTTGACATTTAACAAAACTAACGATCACTTCTGGTCATTCCCAGGTATGTATCCCAATGTTGCCAAGACAACCTATGACGCTCCTGCACATGGTATGAAGGATGATGAGATAGTGTGTCGAGCTGATACTACTAAAGGACCGGTAACAGTTCATCCATCATCTGTTAATCGTCACCTAGGCACCAATGGATGGATGCTATTCTCTGAAAGGGTAGGTCTTTGATAATTTACAACAAAAAGATTTAAAACACTTAATTGATGCTGAAATGTATGTATCATTGGTATTCTTCAATGTCGTTCTTTCCTTTGATGGTGATAATGGTGACTCAACTTTTGCACCAGCCATGTTGATCCAGGTTTAATTCTGTGAAAGATGTATGATTGGGGTTAGAATTGCAATTGATTGTTAGGTTAGGTTTAGGGTTACACCTTGGGTAAGAGTAAGGTGTAGTATGTGGTCAAAGTTTGAAGCAAGGAATATGATTTGTGTTGAAATAAACTGTAGTAATTTTTGCAGAATCGTGTGTTTAAGAACTATGTGTGACATCCCACTTTGTGATTATGATAACAACTATATTTCTTAATATCATAATGCTGCCTTGTATTCACTGACCATACAGGTAAAATTGTCTCGGGTTTACATCAGAGAGAGCTCACTCATCACTCCGTATCCTCTTCTACTCTTTGGAGGAGAGATAGCAGTACATCATCGAGAACGCCTCATCAGCGTAGATGACTGGATTCAATTCCAGGTGAGTTTTAAAATCTTTTCCCTCTGAAATAAATTGATTGATCATTAAATCAAAGAATGGGAACAGAGTGTGGAGAGATTGGAAAGAAATAGTTTGGTGGTTTTGTAATCATTAATATTTTACTGTGTTGTTTGTAAAACATGCTTAATTGCAGATTACCCAATCCTGGATTTTGTGCTGGGTTTTTATTGCAGATGTTCTACAATATCTAGTTTATCTTGTAGATTTATTGCATATTAATCAAAATATTTTTATTTTGATATTTATGAAATTGCTTTTTAAAGCAGATCACATCGTGTGTATGTTAGTTTGATTGTAAATATGTATTTATATATATATATATATATATATTTGAAGTGAGCTATTTTCAGTTGTGCCACTTAACAGCTTATACCTTTATCTTTGTAGGCTTCAGCCAAAACTGCAGTCATCTTCAAAGAGCTCAGACTACTACTTAACATGTTCCTAGAGAAGAAACTTGCCAATCCAGCCCTACAAATACAAGGTTTGCAATTATCTCCTTTCTATAATTGAAAGAAATCTCTCTTCCTTGATGAAAATGCAAATAGTACAACCACAAGTCTTGCCTGACCTTTAGGTAGCATGGTTCTATCCATGGAAGGGCACTGCCATCATATGTAATTGGAAGGGGGGCATCAGGCTTGGTGGATAATTAACAGAATCACCAAATAGGGGAGGGGGCATTACGAGGTCCTATCAAAATCTCTTCTTCTTCAAAATAATCTGCCTCCCTCAATACTGAAGATTCTTGCCGATGCCGTATATACTTGGCCTGATTATCAGATTTCCCATCTCTCTTCCTTTTTCTACCACCTTTCGTTTATTTTGCCATTATTAGGGAGGGGGAGGCTTGTGCCCCACTGTATATGTGTACTTAAATGCCTCCCCATCTATCATTTGTGTTTACATTTTCCGACTACCAATTTGTTGTGCAACCAGTATTATATTGTATCTTTTTTTTTGTCAGTGTATAATTGACATCCTTTTTCTTCCTTTTCTTTTTACAGATGAGGAAGTAATCAAAGCTCTACTAAAGCTGCTAAAGTCAGAGAAGGCCAGATAGCAGGAATAGTAGAACATACTTACAAAAGGGGAGAAGGGTTAGAATATGTTTATAATTATTCTCTCAACAAAACCAAGATTGTAGAAACAATCAAAAGTTAAAACAGACTTTGTCAAAATGTAGTAAATTTATTTATTTATCTAAATTTGGACAATAATATTTAAGCCTGCACTTTTGTTACAGCAGTTTTATCAATGAGCTACAATATGTATGCAAATTTCAATTATGAGAGGATAAAGAGTTGTATTTTGCCAATCTCATTTTGTTAAAGCCCTGATGTAACAAAGTAATTTTCTTGGCCCCAAGTATTTCGTTTTAACCAGATTCTGCTGTATATGTGTGTACAGCATGATGAATCAACAAATTGTTTGTTTAGGCAAAAATTGTGATTATCAAAGAATAGAATTTGTTTTTGTAATCATACTTTATATATCGTGTCCTGACTAATGAAGTTACTGAAAGTCTGAGAATACATCATCTGTTGAGAGCCAGAGGGGTGTTAACTATATATTAAAATATATTTAATAAAATATATTTATAAATCTGGCTTCTAGCTCATTTATAAGTCTGGCTTCTGGCTCTTGAGCTCTTGTATGGGAATTGTATTTTGAAAGAAAATTGCTACGATTTATTCTGGATTATTAATCCTGCATTAGGTTGGTTGTTTCAACCAATGAAATAAAAACAAACGCACAAAAACTAACTGGGTAAAGCACATGGTGTCCGGCCTACTTACTCGAATTTCCTTATCTCTCTCTATGCTAAGTTTCTACCAACCAAACATTGTTTAGCACATGTTATTTATTTGTAATCTTGAACATTCAGTGATGTATCAGATATTTGATAATCAGTTCGGCAGTTCGGTAAGACAGACCAATGTCATTTTACCATTTTGAGAATCGCCATCTTGAAAAGAATTGGTTTATAACCAAAGCCAGATCACATGAATCATTTTCATCATCTTCATCAAAGGTCTTTTACTTTCGGACTCGATGATTTGTTTAAATGATGTGTTTCCCACTTCATTGTTTTTGAGGGGGTGTTTTGTGTAGGTAAACCTACTAAATTTAATATCTTCCAAGTGATTAGTTTTGTATAGGTAGCCATCAGATTTTGTCAAGATAGTAAGATTTTACAAGTGGGCAGTAGAAAATTAGTCCTCAATGTCTTTGCTCTCTTTGATGGCATCATATGAAGAAATAAAAAAAATTATAAGAAATGTATGTGTACCGGAAAAAAGCATGATGTAAGATTAAGCCTTCATTAAAGATGTACACAGTTTAAAACATGAAGAATAAAGATAGACTTTATTTTTGAAATACATTGTCTATTTCTCAAATTATTTGTGTTGAATTTTCTTCTATAGTTGTGTCTCAATTACAAGTACCTGTACATTAGCATGGTACTTTGTGTATGGTATAATAGGTACCGTATGGTTTGGCCTGTAAATTTAAAACCTACCAGGTGGTACTACATTGTAATATATTTTGAGGTTCTTGGATGAATATCGAGGGGTCAGTGACACAAAGACGTAACTCCATTTCGGCCATTTTGAGAAAAAGTGGTTTATCTGTCACTGAGCACTTGGACCTTCAGGAGTTAAGTCCATGTTTCACTAGCCTTTGACTTCAATGGTGTTGGGTGGAGTAAAGTGTTTGTGTTTCCTGGAAAGCCCACATTTTTCTGAACATCTTGATATCAAATACTCATTTTGGCAAAATATGGAGTTACATCTTTATGTCACTGAACCCGTGATATGTACATGTGTACATTGTATTGTACATTGTATTACCTACCTTTCAACAATGGAAGTACAAAATTATGGTGAGTTTTTCTCAAATGACCACACTATTAAATATTTTTGCGAAGGAGCAAATCAGGCACTTTAATGCAAAGTAGAAAATTCATACAGCTATTTAAAATGTGGAAATTAAAACAATCAATTCTTACAAACTAAAATTGCACATTTATAAAAAAAAAAGAAAAACAAATTATATACATATGTACAAGGGGCTGTACCAAATTACAGGTACAGGCGTCAACAAAGGCATGAAATAAACAATATGGCAAAAAATCAAGGTGATAAAATTAGTGCTGTAGTCAAACGTTTAACCGTCCGGTATCCGACCGCCCATGGCGGATTCCGTTTTCAATTGGACGGTTTCGTTATCCCGTTTTTTTTTTTTTTTTTTTTTTTTTTTTTTTTTTTTTTATTAATTTTTTTTTTTTTATAATTTTTTTTTTTTTTTTTTTTTTTTTTTTTTTTTAAAGTTTCGATTTATGCCCCTCCGCCTGGCACTATGCCTGGCAATGTCTCCCAGCTCAGTAATCGGTGTGATGACTTACCACTTGGAAACTAGAACAACACTCCAATTTGTCTGTCATCTTGGTTTGAAAGTAATCTTTGTAATAGATCTCAATATATATTCATCCAAGTTTAACACATGGTGTACCACAAGGTTCTATCCTAGGTCCTCTCTTTTTAATTTACTTTAATGATCTTACACATTATTCTAAAATGACATTGTTACTATTATTTCTATTATTTGTGACAAGTTCACAAGCACAAATCGGCACCTTCAGTTAAATCACCTTCCTGCTTTTTCACACGGCCAAAAAAAAAAAAAAAAAAAAAAAAATGATTTTTTTTTTTTTTTTTTTTTTTTTTTTTTTTTTTTAAATAAATCGTTTAACCGAAAACCGTCCGGTTTTGACAGGCGGTTAAACGGAATTGGAGATATCCGTGATGTTACAGCACTAGATAAAATAAGTTCTTAAGGCATAATCTTTATAATTTTAGTTAGGGGGAGCTGTGAAAAGCGGTCATGGCAGTTTAAACTATTCATCACATTCAGATATGAAGAGGCCAAACTGTTGCATTTTTTTATGACGGCGTAAAGTGTAATAGCTATGCATTTCTGTATATCTTGTAACAGGGAGCTCACTGAATACAAGCAGGAGCTTTGTTGCGCGCAGTTGCCATTCACTTACACATAACAAAAAAACATGGCAGCCTTTTTGCCAGTTTAACACGTCATAATGTATCTGATCAAGCCTAGCATTGACAGTGAGATTAAATCATACAAGCACAATTTGAATATTTTAAATATTTGTTTGTTTTGTCCAGTTTTGTCAATGTACCAAGGTCTTCATTTTGTTCATATCAGGTAGGTACTTGTCTCAAAGATCAAGGACATGTTCATGAACTAGCTTCGTTTCATACAATCAAATGGGCGCAAACTATATACTTCACGATATGGATTATTATATTTGTCTTGGGAAGAAAAGTATACACATCTTATGATCTTCCAAGTCCAAACAAAATTTTCAATACTTGAATATTTGGATGGGATTTGCTGCACACATTATGGAATTGGTTAAGATGTTGACTGCTTTCAATCTAAAAAGGTTACATCATGTAAAACATTGTAGTTTTCACAGCTTTTCTATCTCTTACATTGTGAATGGCATACACTTTACAAAAATCTCTCAAGTATCTTGTTCTACAATATTACTGGTATGCACAGTACAGCAACACGAGTAAATTTGAAGAAATGTAATGGAAAATGTTACCCAACAAACTTTAGAGATATTGCTTTCCTTGCTAAATAATCAAATACAGGTAATTTTACAATTTTTTGAACTTGCTGACAAGTTTGAATAAGTTTATCAGCTAATGTTGGTTGAGTTACATTATCTTTTAAGTTATGTCTCTCATACACAGGAGGGTTGTAAAAATGTAATCAGAGATATGGCAGTTGTGATGAATTTCCAGATTTAACATTAGCCTTCATGGTTCAGAATATAGCTGAAACTAGATGAAAGTGACAGAAAAGATGAATTATAAGATTAAAACTTGTGAAACATCATTTTCATATTTCTGAGCAAAAACACTATCTAGTTTGTATTACTATTTGTAGGATGTACATGTAAATGCACTGAACAAATTCTTCATATAATTTTGCATATAAGCCGCATATATATATATATACACTTGTAGATTTAGAGTATCAGAGCAAGTCATGATATAAAAACTATCACGCTTACATTTATTTCTAAGTCTTTCTGCCTAGAATTCATCATCACTGGTTAATCCTGGCAAACTTCCTTCAGAATCCTTGAAAAGATCCTCTCCGATCTCACTTTCATCCTCATCAGCCCCACCCTCAAAGTCCTCAGAGTAACTAGGAGTGGGGCTTGCACCCTTTGGAGGCCCCCTTCCAGAGTGATCTGACTCCGTAGGAGATCCAATCCCTTTAGTGGGTGTGGCACTATCTACCCTGGGACTGTCTTCAATTTGGTATTTGGTTCCAGGTACCCTGGGAGTGGATTCAATACTCTCACCAAAATCTAGTTCAGTCATTTGCCTGATGTTTCCAATATCCGACTCAAAAGAGTCTTTAACCAATTGAAGGCCTGGTTCCTGGCCTAGTTCTTCTTTTTCACTTCCAAGATAATCATGATGGGTATCCTCTCTGTTTTGGTCTTCTACATCATCAGCCTCAGCTGATGCATGTGCTTCTTGCTTTGGCAGAACAGTTGTTTCCTTCTGCTCTTCAAACAGGTGCGATCTTGAAGAGATCTGAACCATGCTAGGCACGAAGACCCCTTCTGTACTAGACATGGATTCTGGAGGAATGTCTTTACCTTTGGACGTAACCTGGGCAGACCTTTGACTAGATGCAGTCACTTGTACTGATGGCACCCTTGATGTGACAGCACTGTCAGCTCTGGAAGGTTGTGACTGAGACGTACTGGATGGAGCAGGATGAGGACCTCCATTTGAAAGTCCGGTAGAAGATGGTTGTTGATTGGCAAGCACTGGTTGTTGTATGGGCTGAGGATACATCTGCAGATGCGGTGGCATCTGACCCTGCATCATTTGCTGTTGGTATGGGTTCATCATCTGAGAATAGACACCAAGGTTCATTGGTTGCGCCCCAGGGGCTTGCTGGAAGTTCATATGCCCTGCTCCTGCGGAAGACACCTGATTGGGATACTGCATACCAGGCATCATCGGACCCATCATTCCAAACGGGACATTGTACGGAGATGGCTGCATTGGCTGATTGGAATAGATTAGGTTTCCAGGCTGGTAGATGCCATTGGCTTGTTGTGTTGATGATGAAGCTGATCCTAGTGACCCTGGTTGAGCAGAAGGCTGATGATCCTTCAAGATTGATTTCACTGCAGGATGACCAATGTCTTGTGAGCTCAGACCAACCAATGTGCACAGCTGACCCAGTCTGAAGTAAATATATGGGAATAAAACAATAAATAACTGTTTGCAGCATGAATGATGAATTGTTAAGATACCCATGGAGGATTATTTTTCAATGCAGAAATACCTAATGTATTGTGCATTTTACTGAAATTGATTTAGTTCAAGACAATTAGCATTTGCAAAGAGTAATGACCTATGCTATTTTTTCCAGTTGGTGTAGCTACAAAATGAAAAGCTCAGTATTATTATTAACATTTCTTTTGTCAATCAGCAAGAGCTTCCGTGAGTACATTAATTGCATGACCGAGAATCAATATGTCCTGATGAATACAAGCCCTTGTCCAGCAGAAAATTAACTCAAACCAAGCAGAAATTGAATTAAAAGGTAAACATCTTTTGTAAAGAATTATGTTGAAGAGCAATTCAGTTTCCTTCCCTAATTTCATGGTTCTGAAAGAAAGAAAGTTTTGTAAATTTTTAACAATAAAGATTAAAAGAGTGTAGTTTTCATCAGACTCACCCTGCATCTCTAAGAAGATCAAGGAAGCCATGGAACTTCTGGAAGGACTCTTCAATGCTCTCCAGTAATGCCTCATCCTCCGCAGTCTCCTCTCCTTCCCCTGGTCCTCCCTTCTTGAGGGGCGAGGTAGGACCCCTAGCCTCCTGAAGCTGGAGCTGATGCTTCAATCGACTGTTCTCAACCTCCAGCTCTATCACACGCTCATCAGACGCTGCCCTCGCTTTGCTCTCAATGTACAGACGTCGTCTCAGTTCTTCAGCTTCAACCTGTGTCGGGTATAACATTTGTTATCATTAGAAGAATTTGTTAGTGTTCCCAACACTCTAGCATCTTATCCTCAGATTTCTCATTGTAGTTAATAACTTGTTCTGTAGCCACAACTGTAAATAGCTGTTCAATTTGTTTCTTCAAATGTTAATAATAATTTCTCTGAAATAAAAAAAACTTAACCATGACATGGCTATCACAAATATTTGCAATCCATGCACAATATTTACACAGTGGATTTCACATAAACAGCATTTTTTAAAGTTTCTAGGTACATGAATATCTTTAAGTTGAACAACATAACACTAATTTGAAAACATGTTATAAACTAGTTACCTTGAAACTGAACAAGATAAAACAGTACTTCAATTGGAGAATTATCACAAATATTTTCACTGAAGTAGGGATTACTAGCTACTATAATTCCGCAACGTAAACTTGTATGTTATAATTTTAGGTAACTTTCTATCTTCACTAGGGGAACAAATTATATATATATATATATATATATATATATAATAAAGTTTACCACATACACAGAGGAACTGAACAATTTACTTTACCTGAAGATTTTTAATCTTTCGATTGACATTAGCCTCATATGTTGCCCCAGTGCCTGTAGAGGAGGACATATAAGTAGAGGGTGTGTCCATGCTGTCCTTGACACTGGTATCAAACTCACTGGAACTAACAGCATGTACATGGATAGATGATGCTCCAGGTCTAGTAGGTGTAGACGATCCAGCAGGGCTTCCAGGTTCAACATGCAGAAGGCTCTTGCTGCTGAAGGAGAATGGTTGGAAATAGATTGATAAATCAGCAGAACAAACGAGATTGATAACTCTATGAAAGGTTATGCTTTCCTAGCTCCTAGAACACAATATTTGCATAGGTGATCAGCGTTCCGGCGACGATCAGTCTGTTTCTTCACAGATACACGGGTTAGGTTTATAAATGCTATTGGGTTTTAGATTAGGTTTAGACATAGGTTAAAGGTTAGGTAGTGTTTGACCCCAAGTTTAAATTAGGAACTCACATAGTACAGGTAATTCACTACAGAGCGATCATTGTCAGAGCATGTATCATACAACCCTTTGAATACATTGAAACAAGGTAGTATCTTGTACAGTACAGACAGTGGTCAAGGCAATGGCAATATGAATATGACCTCCCTCACCTTCTTTGGTTTGCTCTAGCGGCTGTTCTCCAGGGAACAAACCCTGGACCAGGTCTCGTTAGAACAGGCTCCATGTCCATCTTAGAACTCTGAATGGTAATCCCGCTCTCAGACTTGGACCTTGTTCTTCTCTCTGGTTTAATGGAAGATGTACTTTTCACCCTGCTCCTACTGGTGCTTGGTTTTCTCATCTGGATGGAAGAGGTCCTCACTAGGCTCACTTTCCGTTTGTTCCTCGGCTTGGAGGATGACCCATTAGGACTCCTTGCTCTCAGCCATTTGTACTATAAATGTATTTAAAAAATCCATACTTCTTTGACTTTGTTTAGATTACATAATATTTATTTATACCAACAGGAAAGACTATATAAATATGACTGCATCTTCAATATGCCTCCAACTGTGTTCAATGAACCAATGACTTTGCGATATTTGGCATCTGATCTCTTGAATCTAAACTTTCATGCTCATACACGCTCGAGTCAAGTCTTGTCAAAATCATCTCATTTGTTCTCAAGTAGCACAGTCACAAAAATATTCCATGTATTTTTTTGTTTGGCTACTTTTATAGCAATTGGACTTTATAACTTTTACACCCAACCAAATACTGAAGTGGTAAGCATAAATGTGTGAAATAGTCTGTTGAATCTCCTGTACAGATGTGATAAACAGAAATGGATGGATGCCTCTTAAGATCAAACAATAAAAGTTAAGATGTCCTGACCTCTATTTCTTGTCCTCCTGAATTGATCATGACTTGTTCTATGATGGCCTTCAAGAGATCTTGGTCTATGAGATGGGTAAAGAAAAAAAGGGGAAATGTAGAAGTAGATGGAGGGAACAGTTAAGAGCAAAACAAATGTGATAGAAATAAAAAAAAATATCTAAAATATATAATTTGTACAATAAATATGTATAGTATAGTTGGTGGTGGTTATTTTACCTCACTGCTAAGAAAGCATAAATGCTTGTAAGTAAGCAACCAGACAGCCAACGGCTTTAGGTCCTCTCCGAGGGACCTGGTAATGAGGATTAATGCCTTACCAAAGGGCACTAGCGCATCGCCTTGGTTTCGAACCCGGGTCACCGGATTACGAGACCACTGCTCTACTGACTGAGCTATCGTGCCTCCTATCATAGATGTTATGATAGCCTCTTTAATGGTGCTGAATAGCTCCACATATATGAACAGAAATTTGGTGTACATATGAGATGATGGTTCTGTAAGTTATGCATCAACTAAGATCCTATCATAAGTTGACACTTCCCTCTCACAACACTAATAATGTGTGTAGAAAAATAGCTGCTACACAAAACGTTTAATGCCATCATTACCAAACAAAGAAGTAACTTTCCTTAAGTAAAATTTAATCTTGAAATCATCCACTGAGAGCCAGAAGGACATCAACTCTCATACTTTCATAGATTGAAAACCCTTCTGGCTTTCGAGCAGAAGGAATTATAGAAGAGAAATGAAGAGAAATACAAAGCTAAAATGTTACCTAGTAAAGGGTTTCTTCTCAGGTCCAGTACAACGATGCTGGTATTCTGATGCAAAGTATCAAGAAATGCCTTGGCTCCTACGTTGGATATACCACAATGCTGCATGTCAAGAGCTGAGAGAAGCATGAACATTTAGTTATCAAATGTACAAAGTGAGAAAAATAACTTGTAGCATAACCAAATTTCAAGAAAAAAATCGCTTTAATTGGTCTTCCTAGAAAGGAATTGGCCTAATTCTAATACAGTGAATGAAATATCCTTCTTGTTTTACAATGAAATTTGTTTATCTGTAAATTCCATATTAAAGGGACCTGTACATGATTCAGCCTAGGACGCAGGTTCGAAACTGAGTCACGTCTTTCGGATGGTGACGTTTAAAGGTCGGTCCTCAGACGTAAATAATCATATCTGATTGAAACACATCTGTAAAAACCCAATACACACACATACACACACAAACTACCTGGCCTTTATACACAGGTTTCACTGTATCACCATACTAAGATCTTCATCCTCACCTTTAAGCCAAAGGTCATCCTTCAATGCTTCAGCCAGTGCCATAGCCCCTTTATCATTGAGGAGCGGATTATTGTTAATGGTGATTCTTCGTATCCCTGGCATACGATCTAAGTCAGGTCGGCGGTATCTCAAGCTGTCTTTCCATGCTTCTGTATGTCTCCTGGTAGCTTGATGCTATGTCGGGAAATGAAATCAATGTGTGAATGTGAACATGTCTCTAACATGCCTCAGGTTGGACGAGTAATCAATAATCACCAGGCCTTTGGCATCGGACCTCTTGAACCCAACTCTAAACAGTCCATCTGTTGTTGTTTATATACATTTAAAGGGACTTGGTAAAATTGTTCAGATGAGAGATAGTGGTGCTAAGGTAGTGACTTCAATGCTAGATGTACAATTAAAGATAATCTGAAAATTTGAGTGAAAACAGACCATTATTCATGGTACAAATTGGGAAAAGCTGATCTGATCAATTCCTTAATTCTCCCGACTATACTTTTACAATTTTATTACATTTTAGGTGAATGGAAATCGTCACAAAGCAATAAAATGGCTCTACATTCCATTCCAGACATTTAAGTGTTGACAGATATTTTATAGCCCGTTTTATGTCTTTTTTCCATCAAAAAACGGTTGGGAAATTCAAAAATGGTTGGGAGAATTTACTGTTAATCACTGTTAGAGGGTGCCGTATATCGACGCCTTCAAAGAAAACCATAGATATCTTCGTGGTTTGAGAATTTTTTCAGGATTTTTTGCATGTCAGAGGGTTAGTAGAGTAGAAGGAATATAGTAAGTAACATTTTATACAAAAATTAAGCAATTTTTTTCATCAACCTTCAACAATGTTACCAAGTCACTTTAAGCCAATTTTTCTTGATGATCAAAATCTATCTAGTTTATCTTTTGATTCTTATACATACTTGTGCCAAGTTTGGTTGAAACCTGTTCAATGATTCTCAAGTTATCAAAGTAAAAACTTATTTATAAAGATATTTTTTATAATTTTATTATCATGTGACCTCTTGAATAGTAAATCTCTTAAGATCATCCTTTCACGCTTCAATGCCCATTTGAACCAAGTTTGGTTAAACTAACATATATGGTTCCCACGTTACTGCGGTAACAAACTGAGATAGTCTAATGGACAGAAAACACAAAACATGCCTTTTACACAATGGTGCAGAAGGTATGTCTGGCCAGGCTATCAGTAATGTACGCAGGATTTGCCATGTACATTTGGGCACGAAAGGATAAAGCTTCTTAGTTTATCATGGACTATGTACATACCTTGACTAGCTTGGCTATCATATCTGCACTTTTGCATGTGAGTCCAGCTGCTGTGAGGTTGAGAGACACAATGTTTGGTGTATTCTTGATGCATTGGCATAACACTTCCACACCTCCATCTCCTATACGGCAGTATTCCAGAGAGAGGTGCTGTAGGCATCTGTTCTTTGCTAGCCCCTGCATAATGATGAAATCAGTCAAATATAAATACACTTATTGAAAGGTCATTCAACATGATTGGTCATTGAATGTGACTTCAAGAGTCATCTCCAGTTACTCTTTTCTTTTAAATAAAAATACATATCATGAATGGATAGTGGACTATCACATTAAGCATAAACTTAGATTTCCTTATACTGCAGTTCCATAAAAATTGTCTAGATTCAATGTTCAATCAAACACTTATTAACCTAATATTTAGTAATTATACTTAGATGTGCTAATCATATTTTTAAAAAGCCGTTTTATGGCATTGTTTTGACCAGCAAAATGTGACAAAATGACAATGAAATATATAAAGACATTCATTTACAATTTCACCGTAACGGCATATATCCTTTGAGATCCTGTACAAATTACTTTTATTGACATTACATGTCCCGGAACTCTAGCTTAGTTTAAGAGTTGGACATACAATTTTTGACAGCCATGCTTACCTTACACAGTGACACTACATTCCTTTCCCTCAGCAACAAGCCCTGTAACTCCAGGTGCTGCAGCTGTTCATTGTTAGCCAGGCACTCCCTCAGTGCAATACACAGACGATGGGTGATGTCTCTTGATCTGATCGGCGGGGTTCGTCGGACCTGGGTCTGTAAATGCGACCTTTGGTCTGTTTAACATTAATGAAAAAGGAAATGGTAAGTAGAAGTCTTAATGCAAAAAATATATTATATGAATAATTGAATATGGTTATGGGTAAAAAACAATTGAATAAAAAGTCTAAAGTAATTAATCGGCGGGAGGTAAACACTATGAATATGACTGACAAAGAAAGCGGACAAAATATACAGTTCCTCAGGTAGACAAAGGAACATCCGTTTATTGCTATTATGTAAAAATGTGTAGAACAGGTGTCACATGCATATTCACCTGTTCTACACATTTTTACATAATAGCAGTGAAGGGATGTTCTTTTGTATACCTGAGGAACTGTATATTTTGTCCGCTTTCTTTGTACATTATATTCATAGTGAAATGAACCTTGGTCTGTAAATATGATCAGTCTCTGTTCGACAGTAATTCATGAAAATAGAAATGGTTTAAAGAAGTTTCTTGCATAAAAGTGCTGTTATCAATTGATACTGGATGAATATCAGTAGAAATCAATTTTCTTAAAACAAATTAAATAATGCCCACTAGGATCTTGGAATAGTATTTATTTTCCCTTCAAATTAACAAGAATTTTAAATTACTCTACATTGATCTCATTCTAATTTCACCTTTTATTCTTTATTAGTTTACTGGTACTTCTCCTTATGTCTCATGTTAATAATGACATTCTTACAGTTAACAGTAACATTCCTGAACATTGTTGATTGGGCAGTAACCAGAGTAATCTTACACTTTATAATAATCAATGAGTTAATCAGTAATCACTGATCAATTCTCGTTCTCCTGAGTTTAAAAAAATTGAAGTAACTCCTCAAGTGAACTCAGTCACACTATCAAACCAACTTCAACAATTAATTGACAGTACCATGCCACTTGTGTGATGCAATTTTTTTGTTGTCTATTGTTGGTCTCATCCATGTGTCTGGGATAGAACAGAGTTCAAGAAGCACTTACCGTCCTGCTTACTGCTCTGAAAGTAACTCCTGAATGCGACGAACTGCAGGCTTCTGTTGATACGTAAGGCATTGATGATGGGCATCCAGTCAGGCTGCCGTACCCTATCTGCGTTCAGGTCCAGGACCCCATCGTCCAGATGGGCCTTGACTGCGGTCAGTGGACATGAATCCTGCAGAGCACATAGCTGGCTGTAGTAGCCTTCAAAGTCCTGAGCCCCTCTTTGTCTTGCTTTTACACTTTCTATCATACTTCCGAAAGATTAATAATAGTGTTAAGTACATGGAGTATTTTTCATCCTCAAGCTACAAAGCTCAAAGCTTGTTTATTGAATTGGCGCTAGTTCAGAAGTCTATCCAGACTGCAATTCGACTGCAGTTCATAACACACGCCACGTATACACCCCACCACTGACCGTCGGCAGGCATGTAGCCAGAGTTTGATGTTTGGGGGGGGGGGGGGGGCACATACATGTAATCGATCGAGGTAAAAAAAAGGGGTCTAAAAAAGTTCAATCGATCTTGGAAATTTGGGGGGGCATGTGCCCCCCCCCCCCTCCCCGTGGCTACGCGCCTGACCGTCGGTACGGTATGCAATTGTATTGTGCCGAAATTTGCTGTGAATCTCATGAGAAAGCGTGTATATAATATAATAAGTCTTGGTTTTTTAGGAAAAATATTCAAAAAAAGATAAGAAAATTGACACAAAACATGTAAGAAACATAACAACTTTTAGTTTTAAATCATGATCATTATTTGAACAATTGATGAAGATTTAGTCAATTTCCGGTATGTTTCAGTAGGGCATCTCCTCACCGGAGTTCCGGGTCAAAGTCTGGATAGACTTCTGAACTAGTAGCACCAATGAATTTTAAAATTTCCTGACAAAAGTCAAAACAGCCGTTATCTTAAACGAGAGATTACGAGACAACTGAACTCTGAGTCTGAAGTTATTCTAAATCAGACATTGATTAACTCAACTGATTAAACAAACAATTATTGATCAGACATGACAAATGACAAATTCCACCCAGCATCTAGACCAAGAACTAGGCCTACGTCCTACCGCCTACCGGTAGATAGAGTCTAGTTTATTCCTCAGCACTAGATCTACTGACTTATGGATCCTGCCGAGTATCGTCGTAGAAGTAGAAGTAGAACTAGAAGGTTACTATATTTCTGTCTACATTATTTCACTGTGACTGTGAGCCGAGTTATTATCATCTGACATCAACACAACACTGACGTGACAAGACACAAACAAGTGCTACTGCAACTCCAGGGAGCTCCACCGCGCCGGCATCGCCGACGCCGACGCCATCGGCGGCGGAGCTCCCTGGAGTTACTCCTATACTCTCCTAATGCTGCTATGTCTAGTATCATCTTCGACAATCTCTTTTGTTGTTGTGGTTGATAACCAAGTTTAACTTTAAGTTACTTACGCCATGAGACCAACGTTGAACAATAAAATTTGACAATATATGCTCTAGATCATCCTCGATAACTCGTTCTTGCAGAGATACGGGTCTGGTCGTTTATGATCTCTAAAATGTTATAATAATTTCAGAATTAAAAATGCAATTTTTTGAAGTTCGACTGCTGGCCGCGCCAGTACTTTTTCCCATTCTGCCGTAGATGGCGCCCTTAACCTTAGCGATTCGGCGGCTGACGTTGGCTGAAATGTTGGAATCCGATGACAATGTTGTCAATGATATTGATGGTAAAGATGATAATGATGATGATGACAGTCAGACAGTGGATGATCCACGGGCGAGCCGGGGCCGACCCCCCCCCCCCCTAGGAAAAAAAACCCTGTAAAAAACAGTTAATTTAACTTTTTGTTTAGATGCCCCCCCCTGGTGCTCAAGGGGGCAGGAGGATGCGATTTTTCAAATTTTCGAGGGCCAAATAAATAAAATAATGCTCACTACCCCCCCCCCCCCCCCCCCTCTTCACTGAGCGAATTATCGGCCGGCGCGATTTTCAAATTTTCTGGCGCAAAAAAGATTAAAAAATCAATTATACTAGCTTTTGTATGCATTTGTTGAAAAACGCCCGCCCCCCTCCCTTCTCAGTGTTATTTAGGGTACGCATATGCATGTTCCCTCCTTTTGAAAACATCCCCCTAAGTCTGGTGTGTAAAGTCAATTTTGTGTACTACGAGCCGGACTTTGGTGCGTGAAAAGTACCCCTTTACCGGACATTTTGGTAACATGCATGCGGTCATTCCGACCCCGAAGTGGGGAGGGGGGGGGGGGCCGGGGAAAAATGACAAATTCCTAAAAATTTATAGTCAGGCACTTAAACCCCCTAAAGTGCCCCTTTATACATAGAAAAGGTGCCTCCTTTTACTCAGATAATTAAGCGCCCCTTTTTATTTCAAATAAGTGCCCGTTCCACATTCTTATAAGTGCATGCCTCTTACCAACTCTGATAAGTGTCCCTTTACCTCTGATAATTGCCCTAACCAAGTCTGAGAGGTAACCATTTTACTTTAACAAATGCGCTTTTTTCTGGGGGGGGGGTAATAAGTGCCCCTTTTTATCTTTGATGCGTGCCCCTTCTATCCTCTGATAAGTGCCCCCTTTTAATTTGGACAAGTGCCCCCCTTCTATTTAATAAGTGCCCTTTTTCCTTCTGATAAATGCCCCCTTTTTAAATAAGAGTGACACCTCTGATAAATACATTTATTAAAATCTCACTATCAGACTAGAAACTTAACAGCCACTGTAAAGTTACAATGTCGAACTACAAGATTTAGAAACAGATAGTCTACATGTGCGGCGGCTACTGGCAGCTTAGTGGCAGCCCATAGGAGGGGGGGGGGGTCACTTCCAACATGACTGGCTACCCGGCGCGTACGCAGGATTATTTCAATGGGGGGGGGGGGGGGTTAACATTTAACATTTGGGGGGGGGGGTCCCAAAAAAATCGCAACGACTCAGCCAGTCGCTGAATAAGCGGAGAGGGGGGGGGGAGGGGGGGGGGAGGGGGGGGGGGGGGGGGGGTAAGAGGACACTTTTTTTTTTTGTGGTCCCCAAAAAATCGCAACGACTCAGCCAGTCGCTGAATAAGCGGGGGGGGGGGGGTAGGAAGACAAACAAAAAAAACCAAAGGGGGGGGGGGTTCCTCCAAAATACACACATATAAAGAAAAGGCGGCGAAAGGGTGTCTTTTTCAGTTATACGGCGGCGTCGACGTTTTCATTAAAAAGGGGTGGTTTTCAAGCACTGATCGCATAAAAACCCACAAAAGGGTACCTTTTCAGATTCACAGGTTCGTCGTCGTCTACATTTCCTTCAAAAAGGGTGTTTTTCAAGCACTGATAGCACAAAAACCCCAAAAGGATACCTTTTCAGGATCGACGTTTTCTTTAAAAAGGGTCATTTCAGAAAAGGTGCGTTACGCCATTAGGGTCCATTTCACTGATGGACACGGGTGGGTAGGATTTGTGTATGAGAGTGACCCCCTGGGAGTGGCAGTGCCCATTAACAGAAACAAAAATCGAAAGACTAACTTTCACTGTTCAATTGAATACATTTTGACTAGTTAGCCAAGATATAGAGTGATAATGAAATCCTTTATTCTCGGATTTAAAGGCAATCGCTATATTTTATGGATATCTCTTTTACATCACGATGTATGCAGACAATTATTTAGAAGGGATTTCACATCTGTAGAAGCAAACTTAAGCTACAGTCCCATATACGTCCCGGACCGTCCCGGACCATCCCGGACCCCATCCGGGGTGATCCGGGATTCGGTCCGTGTTGACACCGTGTTGGCACCGGGGTGGTCCTGGATGGTCCTGGATGGTCCTGGATGGTCCGGGATGGTCCTGGGCGGTCCGGGAGTCGACCCCGGATGTTTTTGACGGTCAAAAACTGCCGGGGTGGTCCGGGACGGTCCGGGACAATAGTTTGATCCGGGGTGATCCGTGTAGCCACCGTGCTGGGTCCGGGGTCATCCGTAGTGGCGCCGGGGCGGTCCGTGTTGATCCGTGGCAGTCCGGGAGTGAGTTATTGACCGCCCAGGACCATCCAGGACCATCCAGGACCACCCCGGTGCCAACACGGTGTCAACACGGACCGAATCCCGGATCACCCCGGATGGAGTCCGGGATGGTCCGGGACGGTCCGGGACGGTCCGGGACGTATATGGGACTGTAGCTTAAAAGCATCACGCTTTTTTTGACAAAACATCCCGGACCATCCCGGATCACCCCAGACCATGGTCCGGGATGGTCCGGAGTGGTCCGTGCTCGTCCGTGCTGGTCCGGCTTTATATGGGACTGGGGCTTTAGAACCTCTTTTTCATGGATAAAAGGTAACGAAGAATTAGAATCAAAGAGCGTGCAATTGTGTGGAGGGGTGGGGAATTGAATCGTAATGAATCCTAGAGTGGATCAAGCAATGCTACCGGGTATTGCCATCATTGTCTATTGTTGCGGTATTCAATTCAAAAGGGTTTTCAGAGTGCTTTATTCTAAAGATTGGGAGGCTTTATCCCTTTAGACATCTTCAACAAACGGGAGCGTTATTCCAAAGGATTTCGAGACCTCCGAACAAACACAAGGAGAATCAAAGTAGGTTTTGTTCCGCATAACAAAGGTTAAACCCTGTTTTAGTACTGATTCATTTGGTGCTTCATTGAAAAAGTTATCGCAATTCACATTTGAAATATAGACAGATCACAATGGCTTTCAATTCTACATAGCCCTCTTAACTTACTGGTTCGAGGAATTTCGATTGGAAAATCATGCTAATTAAATTGATGGTCTCATCTGATTTTGTTAAAAGGACCCCATTGTGTACATATTTTGAAAAAGGAATCGTTGATGAAAACTAACATATTTTAGTGTTTTTTGGTCGTTATTTGTGAGTCCATTAGCGGGCCATTTAAAATACTAAAACAGATTAATAAGTGTGTCCGTACGACTATTTTTTTCTTGTTTTTTTCATTATCTTGAATGTATCATTATGGAAACGAGATTAATGTATGAGTATAGTTTTGAAGTGTCGTTAAAACTATTTTATTCGTACATTAGCTCTGATTGCGATTATCGTTTGGGGGAAATGATGTCCTTCCATGCCTTTTATTTAAATCAACCCCGCTTATTGGAGGCGCGATAGCTCAGTCGGTAGAGCAGTGGTCTTGTAATCCGGCAACCCGGGCTCGAAACCAAGTCGATGCACTATAGTGCCCTATAAGGCATTAATCCTCATTACCAGGTCTCTCGGAGAGGACCTTAAGCCGTCGGTCCTCTGGTTGCTTACTAACAAGTATTTAATTATGCTTTCTTAGCAGCCAGGTAAAATAACCACCACCGTTACAATAATGATTATTATGAAGTCATTGATATTTTGCGCGCCTATGTGTATAATTATGTAATGCAGTGCATTATTCATTTATGAACGGAAAGCGGGACAAAAAGGTCGGTGCAGACAGAGATCGAGTGACAAACGACATTTCTGTACGATCACAGAGAATGTACACGTCTTGAACCACCCGGACAATTCCCCAAAGGAGAACATCCCACTATTAGAGAAACATTCCAAAGAACGATACTATGTACCCTTATGAAAATCATGTTCATAGCAATTTACTTTTCCAATATAAGAAAATTCCCCACATGCAATTTTCGTCAAACAACTACTTAGGAAATCATGATAAAGGTAATTGTCCCGGGACCCGGGGTATCATCTGCATGTCACAGAGGATTAGGTGTCCAGGAGCAGTTGTAGGGATACTCTTTCAGATGTAGTTTTCGGAGGGGCGATAGTCCTTGAGATAGTTATCCTAAGGTAACTTACCGTTCTCTGCCCTGAACCCAAAGTTTGTCAAAATAACCTTTCACCAGATAATTTACATATAAAATAATCGTGATCAAAATGTGAGTGTGAAACGGCCCTAAGCATATACCAACCCTCTCCTCAATGCATCGCTAAACACTACAATCCTCTCTCGGCTCTTTCATCATCAAGTACCGCATATGATTACAAAGAGTCGCCTGTATTATTATACAAAACCGCAGAATATTGTCATCAAGTATAATTCATCTAATGTGGTTCTTTTTTTTTTAGATGGCTGAGAATTTCAAAATTCTTTGTTACTATAGTGACTCAGATAAAGAATCCTTGCAAAATGCATGCCGCAACAAGTTTCATTATGAGCTGTTAGATCTTGCTAATATCGCATTCATCAGCTCGGCCTATATACAGAAGACGATTATCATCTTTTGCAAAGTTGCCCTTAGTTTCATTTGCATATGTATGCACTTTGATATTATTTATGTGCCCATTGGTTTGAGTTGCGTATGTTGTTTATGTATATATTTTGCTTCTTTTAACATGGAATACGAAGAAGAAAAAAAAGGAATAGTCATCATTGAACATGAAATCTTTCCCGTGCAGAATATAGCAGCGTGTATTATCGTTGCAGCTATAGTATACACGAACATTTTAGGGTTTGGCTACACAATTTTCTCTTCTTCTAAAAAGCATATAGGAAAAAGGGATATAATAGAGAGAGAGAGAGAGAGAGAGAGAGAGAGAGAGAGAGAACTAGAGAGAGGGAGAGAGAGATAGAGAATGAGTTGATATGTGTATTGTTTTTGT